TCAGCGGCAAAAGCGCCTGCCTGGCAAGTGCAAGGTCGTGAGTTTGGTTCCTGGTACTGGAGAAAAACCAAAAAAAATAAATAAATAAATAAAATAAAGCTTTGTTTGTCCCCACATTTTCGGCTTCTCATGAGAACCTATCTTGTTGAATTTTGCCATAACAATAGTTTTTATAATTTTCTATATTATAGAGGTATAACCATTCTTGCTGTCTTCCATTTACATTTGTATGGAATATCTTTTTCCATTCTTTCACTTTCAATTTATATTTCATTAAAGGTGAAGCGAATCTACCATGGCTTGAATATGAGCACACCAAAATTTATGCTGAGGCCAAGTGGGTCAATATAATAATGTTGGGTAATGTGGTCTGGTGTGAAGTGTTTGTGTCCTGGGAGGAAAGCCTTCAATAATGGAATGACATTTTCTTTTTCATAGGAGTGGGTTAGCTAATTCAGGAGTCCAGATCCTGTTTCTTCTATACATGCTGGTTTATCCTTGTGCTTTTTCTTCCTACCACGCTAACATGCAGCATGGCTCTTCCCCAAATGCAGCCATTTGGTCTTGATTTCTCAACCTCTGGTATGATGAGTTAAATCATCTTCTTTTCTTTATAAACTACCTGTCTCAAGTATTCTGTTAAGGCAAAAGAAAATGGACTAAGTTGAGTCTCTTATAGATGCATATAGATGTGTCTTTTTAAAAAGTTCATTCATATTACTGACTTCTATCACTTTACTGAAAGGAACAGTTAATGATTACTTATTTGATCAGTCTTGCATGTCTCTATTTGTTTTCCTGAGAAACCACTTTGAAGATATCAATATGTAATACAACAACCATTGTTAATTTCCTACCACTTTGTCTGTAACTCTATGTTGCTTGTATTGTTCTTATGCTATTAGGTAAATGGATGTCTCTTTGTTAATGTTTTCCCTCTTTTACTTTTAAAATAAATTTTAAAAAATAAAAAATTCATGCATTCTGTATCTTTTGATTAGAGAATTTAACCCACTTATATCCAGGGTAATTGCTAATAGGTAAGAACTTACTTTTGCCAATTTGTTTGTTTACTGGCTGTTCTGTAGATTCTTTTGTCTTTGTAAATATTTTCTATAGGGGCATACTTTCATTCCTAACTTTTTGTCTTTTGTCTATCTTGTGGTTACCACGACATTTACCCAAAATGCCTTACTGTATAACAGGCTATTTTAAGGTGACAACTTAAGGTTGTATGTATAAAATAACAGTAAATATTTTACTCTACCCTGTACACACAATTTGCATGTGTTCACTGTCACAATTTAGATCTTTGCATATCCTTGAAAATAGTATCTATTATTATTTTAAAGCTTGTCTTCTAGGGGTTGGGGATTTAGCTCAGCGGCAAAAGCGCCTGCCTGGCAAGCGCAAGGTCGTGAGTTCGGTTCCTGGTGCCGGAGAAAAACCAAAAAAAAAAAAGCTTGTCTTCTAACCTTCTTACTAAAAGTGGAAGTGATTTAAATGCCACCACTTCAGTATTTGAGCATATTGAATTAGATTGTGTACATACTTCTACTAGTGAGTTTTATACTTTATGTGCTACTAATTAGCATCCTTTCCTTTCAACTTGAAGAACTTCTTAGTGTTTCTTGTAAGACAGGTCTGGTGGCAATAAATACTGCAGTTTGTTCTACACTGGGGTATAGTGTGATGTTTTGACACATTTGCACAAGAACAACACCCAGGTCAGAGTGATTAGCATTTCTATCATCTCATACACTTATTTTTTCCCTAGTTTTTGTGTGGAAATGTATTTCTCCTTCATGCTTAAGGATAACTTTGCTGGGTACAGTAATCAGTGGTTCTTTTTTTTTTTTTTCCTTTCTCCAATATCTGAATATGTCACCTGCTATAGTTTAAATGTTTGTGTCCACTGCAAAATTCATGTTGAGACAGAAACCTTAGTAAAACAGTATTAAGAGGTTGGTACTCTAGCAAGTGATTAGGTCATGAGAACTCTTCCCTTGTGAATAGAATTAAAGCCTTTCTTCCCTTTTTACTTTTGCCATGTGAGGGGACAGTAATGAAATGCCACTTTGAGAGCAGAGTGGCTCTGACCAGAATCAAACATGCTAGTGTTGTGATCTTGGACTTCCTAGTCTCCAAAACTGTGAGAGAAAAGGTTGTTTTATATAAATTACCCAGTTTCAGCTGAATGTGGAGAGAAAATGTTGTGTATAAATTACCGTCTCAGACGAATGTGGTGTTTACACCTGTAATCCAGCACTTTGGGAGGCAAAGCAGGAGGACAAAAGTTTAACCACAGCCTGAGCAATTTAGCAAGGCCACATTTCAAAATTAAAAAAAAAAGAAAACAGGGCTATAGCTCAGTGAATTTCCCTGAGCTCATCTCCCAGTATAGCTAACGAACACATACATAACCTAGTTTCAGGCATTTTGTTATAGCAGCATAGACAGACTCAGACATCCCATTCTCTCCTGTAAGCATAAAGCCACTGAGGAATTTAGAGTGCTCATCATCCAATCACTTCCCCAAAAGCTTACCAGCTAGCAATCAAGCCTTCAACACGATGAAGGCTCAGGGGAACACCTTAAATAACTACAGTATAACATTTTCTTGATTTTTGACAAGTGGATTATACTCCCTTAGAGTACTCTTCTTTGGCTTGAATCTGATTAAAGATCATGGTGATTCCAGTACTTGCACATTTACATCTTTCCCTAGATTTGGAAAGTTTTATATTGTTTTTTAAATTACTGTAATTGGCCGTCTTTCCCTTCACCTTTAGAACCTTCTGTAACTCAAATATTTGTTCTTACAATGCTCTTATAAATCCTTTACACTTTTTCTTTCATTCTTTTTTTTTCCCCTTCTTTGATTATTCATCTTCAAGTAACCTTTGACTTCACACATTCTCTCTTCCAAGATTTGGAAAATTTTCTGCAGTATTTTGTTAAATAAGCTTTCTGTATTTTTCTCCATCTCTCCTCCCTCTGACAATATCACATAGAAAATCTGTTCACTAATTATATTCTGTAAGTACTATAGTATGTCATCACTCTCTTCTTCCTCCTCTGACTGTGTTAGTTCCAAAGAGCTAGCTTCAATTTCAGAATTTGTTTCATGTCTTGTTTTGGGGCTGTCAACTGTATTTTTACATTAATTAGATTCTTGGGATTCAAGGTTTTTAAAATTATAGTCAAAAAGGTCACTAAGTTTTAAAAATTATTACAGTAAAAGACATACGGTCATCAAACCCCCTCAAAATACTCCTCCTCACTTTGAACATACTTATTCCATCCATCTTGCTACCTTCTGAAACAGTTCTAAAAGTCCTCTTGTGCCTTTCTGTGGCTGCCTCAATGTCCTGCATTTACACAAAATGTTTACAGCGGTTTCTGTCAAATAAAAACCTCATGGTGTGTCTTCATTCACCTTATTCACAAGTTTGGCACCATGCAACTTCTGGCTCTTCCCTGAAAGTCAAAATGACCATGAAAAGTAAATGCTTTGAATGGATTCAGGACATTGAAGCAGCCACAACAGCACAGTTAAAGGCACTGGCAAAAGAGGACTTCCCGAACTGCTTCAGAAAGTAGCAAGAACAATGGGATACATGCATTGAGAGTGAGGGGGAATATCTCGGGGGTATTAATGGCAACATGTCTTTTACTGTAATAAATTTTTAAAACTCGAAAGCTTTCTCCTTTTATCACTTTGTACATAAACTTATTGAATTTCTCCACCAGATCCTGGCTTGTTTTCCTGATTTTATAAATATTCTATCTGTAATTGCTTGTATCTTTTTTTTAAATGAATAAAATCATCACCCTGAATTAGAATGGCAGCTGTCAGCTGCTGGGGGAAATAGGGAGTGGGAAGTTGTTTGGTGGGTATGGAGTTTTAGTTTTACAACAGAAAAATAATTCTGGAGAGATGGCAGTGATGGTCCCACATTTTGCACAGATAGTATTTAATATCATTAATCTGTACACTTAAAAGATACTTCAGACAGTAAACTTTACTGTTACATATATATGAATATATATACATTTATTATGTATATTTTATTACAATAAGAAAATTAACATCATGAATGAGGCTAAAGCAAAAGTCACTTTAAAGAGTATTTCAGAGCAGGAAAAATCTGGCTACAGCCTAATTAATGATAATAACAGTAGAGAAATGGTCAATATAAAACATGGAAAAAGGAGACTCAGAAATATTGGAGATTTCAAAGAGAGATTATCCAGGATTCCAGTCATTTGAGAACCATTTTCTTGTAGAGAAGGGACGGTTTATTAACTTCACCATGGCCTAAAAGAAACAAGTCTCTTAATTCTGAAGCTGTTACTCTAACAACACGCTCATGCAGAAAACCCCTGGACAGGTGATTTGGTGTGCAAACTGCACTGGAAGACAGGTGGGCAGAGTCTTTGTCAATGAAAAGAAACCTAACTCTTTGTAAAGTAGGAAGACAGCATTCTTGTTTACATGTGTTATCCCTTTTATTCTGATTCTCCACATTAGGAGTTAGTATCGCTCTCTGGTCACTCAAAGATGACTTTATGGATCTGAAAAATCAATAGCAAAACCCTTAACAATGACTGATCAATAAATAAAACAACAGGTTTGGAGCTTTTCTGGTTTGTGTTCATTCTCCTTGCCCCACAACAAAAAGGTAAAATTCACTCATAAATAGCAAATAGCATTGAAAGGACAACACCTCAATTTTTTTTTTTCTTTTTAAAAACAGAGACTGGGCATGGTGACACCTGCCCATAATCCCAGCACTCGGTAGGCGGAGGCAGGACTGCCATGCATTCAAGGCCAGACTGAACTACTGAACCATATAGTGAGACCTTGTGCATCCTCAAAAAAAATTAAAATAAATAAGTAAATGAAAGGGAGGCTTAATTTGGTTCATAACCATTAATATTTCTTAAGAGATTTATGTCTATTTTTCAAAGACATAACAGTACCAACAACAAAAAAATTGAGACCTTATTAAAAGTATTTATTCTTCATATACAGAACATAATTTTAGGAATCTAAACTACTTATTTTTGAAAAACACTCAAGACTTTGAATGAAGTGGAATTACAAGATGAAAAATAACAAAAAGAAAATGAGAAAGAATTCCAAAATAATTTGGTTTCACATATTTGAAATGGTTTTCTAATTAAGACCTTGAGTAGATCCAAGAAAATTTTCTTAGAAGAACAAAACTTCCATCTTCTTGCAAAGATTAAGGCAGCCACAAGAATCCGAAAAACACTTGTTCTTTATGATCATGTTTGGTTCCTCTTAATGTATTCCAAACTCCTGGTTCCACTTTGTATTTCAATATAGAAACATAACAACGCTGGAGATAAAGTTACATTAGACACTCCACAGTATTCTGGGCGAAGGGATGTCTCTGTTTTGTAAACTACGGATGGAGGCAAATGTCTTTGGAAAAGTGGTCAAAACGTGGTCCTCTACATTGGACTCTAAAAGAGATCAATCAGCTCCTTCTACTGCTGTTGTGGCAACAGGTTTCACATAGTATGGACCTTCACTCAGGTAAGTTCTAAGCCTCAAATAATTTGGGTTCCCAAAGATTTCTGCAATTGTCTTAGAATTGGCAAGTGCTTTCACCAGTTCATATTTGGCATCCTTTGAAGCTTTGTCATGCTCTACAGACCGGTCCATCACATACTCTACAAAGCCGGGACTGTTAAACATAAGTTTCTGAGCCCAAGGTTGGTCTGCAATAGCCTAAAAGAGAAAAGCACAAAGAATATAATTCATTTGGGCCTTCAGAAATTAAGATCTCTCCTGAGAAACACATTTAAGAAAACAATCCTAAGTGTTAATAAAGTTTTGTATACAAAAATGGTCATCACAGTGTGATAGTTATAATATAAATGTCCAGTAACGAAGGAATGGTTAAGTAAATTATGGTATATAGCAATAAAAAATAAGCAGTAAGACTGTTCACAAATAGCAATGACACAGATAAACCTGTTAACACAAAAAAGCAGATCCAAGCCATACAGACATGATCACAACAGCAGAAAAGTGAAAGCAAAAACCAAAGAAGAAATGAATATGCTGAAGACACTCTTATCATGTACACAGACAGTATTTTTGAGGAGGTTCATTATAGTATCATTTGTAACATATACTATATAAATTTTCATTTATAGGAGAACGACACATTGCTGCTATTCCAAACTCTTGGCTCCACTTTGTATTTGAATATAGAAACATAACAATGTTGGAGATAAAGTTACATTAGACAATCTTAACTTTTCTAATTGTTTCCTTGAACAGGTTTATTTTAGAAACATAAAGCAAATGGTAGAGTACAAGTAGCATACCATTTGTAAAATTTAAGAAAATGTAAAGTACTATGTTTTGTTTAAACATATAATATATGGTAAAAATATAAAATCATGTACGGCCTGGATTTGTGACAGTGATTATATCCAAGAAGGAAAGAAGGGAAATGAGATTGGGCAGGGGTACCCATGTATGACTCTGTTTACAGTACTTCCACTCAAAATAAATAAATATTAAAATGAAACTCAAAAAATACAACTTCATGTGATTTAAAAAATTTCTACTTTGCAATTTTTTCCAATTTTAAAATGAGGGATAAGCAACTTTAATGCTGATTAAAAGTGCAATATTAGATTAAAAAAACCTTTTATTCTCTCTTTTTTTTTTTTTAAGATAGAGTAGTTCAGAGTGGTTTTGAATTCACTATGCAGCCCAGGCTGGCCTCCAACTAGTAGCAATCCTCCTGCTTCAGCCCTTTACGTGCTAGAATTACAGACGTGCACCATCACACCCAGCTTTACTATTACATTTTAATAAAGAACAAGTAATAAGTGTATAGCCTACCTTTCTTCCTCTCAATGTTTCTACAGATCAGCACCATCAGGATCACCTGGAGCTTGTTAGAAATTCAAGATCTCAAGCTCCATTTCAGAACTATCGATTCAGAATCTACATTTCCAAGAGATCCCTAAAATTAACTATTTCAGGGTGCTGAAATAAAAACCATCACAACCAGTAAATCAAAAATTATGCCTAACAACTGTGATCAACTGTGAAAACTAAGCACAGTATAAGGTAGAATTAACAAAAATTCAACTAATAAAGAAATACCAACGCGGGAGCCAAAATGGCCATCTTATCCAATGACTACAAGGGTGAAGCAGGCTAAAAAAGATGTTCTTATGTACTGAAAACATGTACTAATAAAAACTAAGAAAAAAAAGTAGATGTTCTTGAATTTGACAGGAAGATTTGTCAGTATATATCACATCCTCAGGAAGCCTTCTCTTTCCTTTCCGCTCCCAGTCTAGATGTAGTATGCTGCCTGAACCCCATTATGATAAGATTACTAAGGTGATTACTACATTTCGAGGAACCCAGGAGTCATGGTAAGGGCTGGGGCTACAACATGAATCAGATATGGCTCCTATTCTCCACAAACTCTGCTTAATAGGGGAAGAGATCAATTAACGTACATTTTCAACATAATAAATAAAGGTTGCCAAAAAAACATATACACACTTCAGGACAAGAAACACAGTATAATGGTTTTTCAATAGATGGTGTTAGAGAAGAAACTGAAAATTCACGTGCAGCAATCTCAGTGACCAAAGTTAACCAAGCAGCAGTTCGCCATACTAATACATGTCTGGAAGCTAATGGCCACCACTTTGAGCACCCCTTGTAATCGCAGAGACCAAAGGTAACTTGTATTAATCTCATGAAGTCTCAATAAATTTAGTATTAAAATAATTGTACAAGTATTTGTTTGCCTGAAGTATGTATACTTTTTTGGTGGACTCTGTTAGCAGAAGTACAATTCTTATCACAGCTATAATTATATAAGTAACATTACAATTACATTTATTGCCTGGCTTCCATAACAGGCATCTTCAGGAAAAATCTTACATATGTTGTTCACTGTTGTAACCCTTACATACACCCAAAAAACAAACCAGCTCAACAAGTATTTACTGAATGAATAAATGAGGTACGTAAGTACCAGCACTGTTTAACACATTCCCGCTGGCTCGAACCACCTATGGTACACGCACAACTGTTCCATTGGGCGGCTTGTACCACTGGAGGCGTAAATGGATCTAATCACTTTTATCACGATTTTTACTAGTAAAATTAATAAAAAGTCTATAAATGGATCCAATCTTAGTTGCTTAAACTGGAATAATTACTGCCCTCCCCAAAATATTAATAGTATTCATACCAATGAATACTAAAAAATTATAACAAAATTTATTTCATTAAATTAAAAAGAAATTATACTCGTGAATTTCTTTACAACATTTTATGCATAAAGGCGGCTGATTAACGCAGAGTTCACAAAATGTCGTAATGTATTTGCCTTTTTTTGTGGCACAGGAGCACCCATTTTTTCAGAGTCAGGCATGCACTACCAATGGGTCAAGCCGGCAGGCTGACTCCGTTCAAATCAGGGCCACCTGGCAGCAAGACGCAGAATTATGGCTCTGCCCTGAATGTGTTAACTCAGCCTTGCTCATTTGGACAAAGCATACTGAGCAGATATCTAGCTCTTGATGAGTAAGTAAAAGATTAACAAAGAAGTAAAGGAAGAGTGTTGGATACAGAGAACACAATAAAGGTCCAGAGATAATGACACAAGTATGCTGGTATCACTAGAGAATTAAGTGCCGGAAGGAGAAGAGCAGGGAAAAGGCTCAAGAAGACTAGGACTGGGTGAACTGAATACGGCACATAAGGAGTTCAGAATTAATGCTGTGATCCTATAGCACCCTGTTCAGACTATGAACAGTCCTAATACCTTTCACCAAGCACTGTTCACACATCTGTCTCTCTCACTGGTCTCAAACAGCAGAGAGGAGAAACAGAGCCATGTTCTGGCTCATTAGAAGTCCCCAGAGGACTTATGGAGTCCAGTAGATTACCTACCGTGAACACCTTCAAGGCAGCACAATGTAGTTCAGGGAAGGGCTGATTACTGATGCCACGGAAGAGCTCCAGTGGGTCTCGAGATAAAGAGGAAAACCAGGATTCTGTCATCCTCAGAAGGTCGTCAGTCTGCTGCTCAGGCTACAGGACAGAAAAGGAAAATGTCATGACAAAGTTAACATCTGGAGAAACATACATATTAGCAAAGTCAGGCAGGGCGTGGTGGTGCATTCCTGTAATCCCAGCACTCAGGAGACTGAGGCAGGAGGATCTTTGTGAGTTTGAGACCAGCCTGGGCTACAAAGTGAGCTCAAGGCCAGCCTGAATTGCATAGTGAGACCCTGTCTCAAAAAGACAATGAATAAGTAAGTAAGTAGGTCAGAAGATCTGGATTTAAATGGTACTCAGTCTTTAATCTGTCATGCAAGCTAAGTCTGGAAGGATTATCCTCAAACCCAGACCAGACCTTTCCTAGATTTTGCTGGACGGAGGGGCTCTTCAGTTCTAACATTCTATCATGTCCCTTTAACTTAAAAATGTTATCAGTCACATAAAGGTTATCTTTTAATAAAAGTGAAAAAGATGGCCTTTACTTAGTCAACAATTATACTGTTAACTAGAATTCACTTACTCATAACAGATCAGATTTGTATTTCCAAATACGTCCCGATGTCATTCATTAACTTTCCAGTTTACTTACTGGTAAATACAGAAGAGATGAAACCGCATCCAAGCATCTAATTTTTAATTCTGTAGAGGCATTCTTTGCTTGATGTCCTATTCTCATGAGCAAGCCTTCAAAGCGAGTTCCTTTAAAGGATAACAATGAGATTTTTTTGTATGTTGTAAAATATCCATAACATAAAATTTACTATTTTAAGCATACAGTTGAGGGCCATTAGGTACGTTCACTCTGTTGTACAATCATCACTACTATCTTCAGAACTTTCTCAATAATGCAAACCAAAACTATATACTTATTAAACAGTAATTCCCATTTTTCCCTCCCTCACACCCTCGTAACTAGTACTCCACTTTTTGTTTCTATGAATTTAACTAGTCTATGTACCGTATGTAAGTAGACTCATACAGTAGAGTATGTCTCCTGTGTCTAGCTTATTTCACTTGACACAATGTCTACAAACTTTGTGCTATATAGCATACATCACAATCTCATATTATTACAAAGCTAAGTAAGATGCCCTTCTATGTATATACCACGTTTTGTTTATTCATTTATATGGTGAGGAACCATGGGTTGCTTTCACTAGTTTTTGCTATAGTAACACTGGTATGAACATGGGTGTATAAGTATCTGCTTGAGACCTTGCTTTCAGTACCTTTGAGTCTATACCTACAAATTAAATTGGTGGACCATGTTTAATTTTCTGTGGAACTTCCATATTATTTTCCAGATTGCATCATCTCATATTTCCATCAGTAAACAGGATTATGATTTCTTAATAGCACTTGTTATTTTAATTTTTAAAAAAATTTAAATAATATCCTAATGGGTATAAAGTGAAAAGTGAATTTTTTAGAAGTATACTTGCATTTAGTATGACTCCTAGAAGGTTAAACCAACATAAAAATAAGCATGTAGTCAAGAGACCAACTGACTGACCTACAGCACAATTATATGTAATGCAGCATATATAAGGCAAAGTGTATAGGATTGGAATCAAAGGACCTGGATTTGAGTAGCAGCTGCCCCAGTCTGTATGATCTTAGAAAATTTTCTTAACTTCTCTGAGTTTCAGCTACCTTATCTGTAAAATGAGAATGACAATAGTATATTCCTTATGACTATAAAAGGATTATATGTCATAGATAAAAGCACTTTAGAAAAGTATATATAACAGGGATGTTAGCACCAGTACACAATGACATATTAATTTAATTTTCAACATTACTTCACAAGGTTCTTCATAATACTGCTGCATATTTATTGTGAAGTCACTGTGCTATTTAGATACTCAAGGATGTGCCACAGAAGTATCTTTCTTAACATAAAATCTTGTAACCAAATTTTGATTCCTTTCTGGCAGAATACAAAAAAGTTTTCACTAATTATATGTAACAACCCTGAAAAGTAGTTGTTATGCCCTTTTCAAAAACAAATGGGGCCTAGAGAAATTATAAGAGTAAATGAAATTCAAGGGCTAAGGTTAGTCTCAGAACTAGAACATGACAAGGGCTTTGTACCATGAATACTGTTCAAGGAAGCTGTGAGGAAGAAATAGTGCTTAGTCCTAATTGGTTGGTAGAACCCTAGACAGTGCAAAGTAAAAAAGGTTTTCAGTAGCAATAAATGGGAGTTTAGAGATGAATTCAGTCACAGACCACTACCTGTAAAACCAGTTTCTACAAGGCAGTTAGCCCACCAGCAAATGAACTTGAATACTTCACCTTTGTCAAAATTTAAAGACACCTAAAAAAATGCCCAGACAAGTCATACCAACCTGTTTTATGTAAAACCTGCTTTCCTTCAACATTGGATCCCAGGATTCCAATTGTGTCTACAGCTACACCAATCATGGTGGGATCCTGACTTTCTGTCATCTCAAACACCTTCTCCACAAAGACAGGGTAACGCTCACAGATCTGCTGAGGACTATCCATGACAGCCAGGTTTCCAAAAAACTTCACAAATCCTAAAAATATTTTAACAGAGGAGTAAGATCACGAATTATGGGCCCTATGCTCTCATAGGAACAGTTATAAAACACAGACAAGAAAGGGAGAAAAGGCTAGAGTACAGTGTTCCTTGGGAAACAGAAATAATAAGAGACCCTAAGGACCTATAATGTGTGGTCCTGAGAGAACAGGAACCCCAGAATGCCAATGAAGGCGGGTCCAAATGCGGAAGTATTATTATGTGCAAGAGGGAGAATAAAGATTAGTGGACATAAATTACAGGAAAACAAGCTTGGGATCACTATTATTATTTTTTTAAAGACAGGTATTGTTATGTAGTTCAGGCCTGAACTAGCAGCAGAAACCGGGCTGGCTTTGAACTTCTGATCTGTCTCAGTCTTTGGACTCATTATTGGGAAGAAACTTTTAAACAAGTAGATAACTGTTTAAAACTGGAGCTGGGAATGCAGCTCAGTGGTAGAGTTCTTGCCTTGTATGCACAAGGTCCTGGGTTCAATTCCCAGCACCACCAAAAATACACAAAAACTGCTGGGTATGGTGGTAAATGCCTATAATCCTAGCACTCAGGCGCCTGAGGCAGGAAGACTGTTAAAAGTTTGAGGCCAGCCTGGGCTATATAGTGAGTTCAACACCAGCTTGTACTACAAAGTGAGACCCTGTCTCAAAAAAAGAAAAAAGAAAAAAAAAAGATCGGCTACTTAGGGAGCATATTTTAGGTAGATTCTAACTCAGATTTGATAGATCTGTGACATATACTATAAATGTCATTATTAGTATTTTTATGTCTTTTCATTGAGCTTCTAAAAAAATTGCCCTAATGCTCTAAAAAGCACTAATGTTACCAGAAAATTACAGACAACGGTGTGTGGCTTCCAGGACATTAGACTCCCTATCCTTAAGTGGGTTGTGGCTATCCTTTTCTAATTTTAAAAAATTTTTGGTGGTACTAGGGTTGGAACTCAGGCCCTCACAAATGCTAAGCAAACATTCTACCAACAAGCTGCTCCCTGAGCCCCACATACAATGATATGTCAGTTGTCAAATGGTTCTAAGCTTAACTTTCCATTACTTGAACAATAAAGTTAAAAAAAAAAATCTCCTAGGTGTTCATACTTTTGCTCAATAGTCGAACAGAAAATCCAACCTGAAAATCTTGTTTGGGCCAAGAGGAAGTCATACGTCAAGTCTTGCCGCAGACACAAAGAGGTGACGCTTCAACTTAACCAGTGCTCTCACACACACAACATATAGTACTTGTGTTAGTAACAGTGTGTTAAAATACTCATCACTGTGCTTTTTGTTTTTTGTATCATGGCTCCAAACAAAGTTAGTGATACCAGCAGGAGAGAGGAAAACTGTGAGAACAACAATAGAGTTGAAGAAAGAAATCGTTGTGAAATTTGTTAAAGTCCTGGAAAAATGAACTTATAAGTTTTGGGCCTCAGAACCAATTACTTCGTGTTCCATTATTTCTTATGGGAAATATATGTCCAGTTCTCGAACGTTTGGTATTTGAACAGGAATTTGGAATGAACTGAGTTCAAGAACTGAGGTTCTGTATCACTGCACAGTATTTGATTTTGCAAAAAGGGTCTTGCTAAGTTGCTCACACTAACCTTGAATTTGCATTCCTCTTGCCTCAGTCTCCTGAATAGCTAAGATTACAGGTGTGTGCCACTAGACTCAGTTTAACTTTTTTAATTGACAAGAATTACATATATTTATTTTACATAACATTGTGAATCATATATGCATTGTGAAATGGCTACTCTCAAGGAATTTTTAGGAACAAGATATATTAACTTTAGTCAATGTTATACTTTACTCCTCCTAACAAACTTTGTATCTTTTAACCAACATCTACCCAACTCTGCCCCACCAGCCCCTGTAATATTATCTCTACTTTCATGAGTTCAATTTTTTAGACTGCGTATATATATGAGATCATGTGTCTTTTTGTGTCTTGCTTATTCCACGTAGCATAACGTACTGTAGGTTTGTCCATGCTGTTGCAAATGACAGGATCTTTCTTCTTAAAGCTAAATAGTATTCCACTATGGATATAGTAGACATTTTCTTTGCCTATTCAAACATTAATGAGCACTTAGGTTGAATAATGCTTCAATGAACACAGAAGCCTAGGTATCTTTGACATACTGATTTCATACCCTTTGGTTATAGTATACAGTAATGGCACTGCCAGATCATATTCTAGTTCTAATCTTAATGTTTCAAGGAACTTTCATTCTTTTTCTTATAATGGTTATGTAAATCTTTTTTTTTTTTGAGAAGGGTCTCAACTATGTAGTACAGGCTGGCCTTGAACTTGGAATTCTCCTGCCTCATCTCCCAAGTGCTAGGATTACAGGTGTGTGCTATTATGCCAGACTTTTTATTTTGTTTCTGATTTTGGATCTTGTTATGTTGCCTAGAGTAAGTTCAAACTCATGATTCTCCAGCCTCAGCCTCCCAAGAAGCTGGGATTATAGACATGTTCCTTTGCTCCACATAATTGTCATCATTTGTCTTTTTTGATCTAAGCCATTGTCAAAGGTCTCAGGTAATTTCTCATTGTGGTTTTTACTTTCATTTCCTTCATTAGTAATCTTCAACATTTTTTTATGTACTGTACCTGCTGGGCATCTAGTCTTCTATTCAGATCCTCTGCTCAATTTTAAATTGAGTTGTTTTCTTGCTAGTGACTTGTGTTTTTTATATATTTTAGACATTCACCCTTTACTAGATATACGGCTTGCAATTAATTGCTTCTTCACTCTGCTATTTTCTTTGGCTTTGCAGAAGCTTTTTAGTTTGACACAAATCCCATTTGTTTTTTCTTGCAAATGCTTTTGAGGGTCACATCCAAAATATGTTGGCCCAGACAAATGTCACTGAGCTTTTCTCTTACGCTTCCATCTAGTAGTTTCAGATCTTAGTAAGACTTTAATACATTTTGAATTGATTTTTATACATGGTACAAAGGATCTCATTTCATTCTTCTGCTTGTGGACAGTTGTCTCAACACTCTTGACAAAGCTATCTTTTCCCCATTGTGTGTTCTTGGCTACTTCGCTGAAAATCATCTGGTCTTGCCGGGCGTGGTGGCGCATGCCTGTAATCCCAGCACTCTGGGAGGCTGAGGTGGGAGGATTGTTATGAGTTCAAGGCCAGCCTCGGCTACAAAGTGAGCTCAAGGCAAGCCTCGGCTACAAAGTGAGCTCAAGGCCAGTGTGAACTGTATAGAGAGACCCTGTCTCAAAAGGACCAAGGGGAAAAGAAAAAAAACAAAATCATTTGGTCATAACCATTTATCATAAATTTATTTTCGGACTCTCTATTCTGTCTTGGGCTGGGAATATAGCTCAGTGGCACAGTGTCTGCCTAGCAAGCACAAGGAAGTGAGTTTGCTTCCTGGTACTAAATAAATAAATAAATATTTTATCTCACTGGTCTTTGTGTCTCTTTTTATAGCAGTGTCATGCTGCTTTGATTAACATAGCTTTGCAGTATATTTTAGTCAGGTAGTGTAATGTCTCTGCTTTGCTATTTTCACTCAATGTTACTTTGGCTACTATGGCTTACACATGAATTTTAGGATTTTTTTTTATTTTTGTGAAAAAAATCATTGGGATTTTGACAGAAATTGCATTCAATCTGTAAATTCTTTAGGAGATAGTATAGATATTATGATAGCATTAACTCTTCCAATAAATAAACTGGGACATCTTTCTGTATGCATTATCAGAATTTTATAGTTTTCAATCTATAGTATTGTATAGATTTTTTACTTAGTGAAATTTTTTCCTACATATTTTGTTCTTTGGGATGACACTGTAATGGTATTTTCTTGCTTTCTTTTTCAGATAGTACACTGCTGGGGTACAGAATGCTACTGATTTTTATACTGCTATTATATGATGCAAATTTTATCAATTCATTTTATCAAATTTCTTAGCTCTAACAGTTTTTTTTGTGGAGGCTGCAGGACATTCTCTATATTAAGATCACTCCATCTGCAAACAGAAGCAATTTAATGTCTTTTTGGATAAGGATGTCTTTTGCTTCTTTCTCTTACCTTACTGCCCTGGCTAGGACTTCCAGTATTATGTTAAACAGAAGTGGTAAAAATGGGCATCCTTTTCTGTTCCTGATGGTAAGAGGAAAATTTTCAACTTTTTACTGTTAAATATGATGTTAGCTTTTCCTATGTTGAGACACTATCCTTCTATACCTAGTTTATTGGTAGTTCATCACAAAAAGATGTTCAATTTTGTCACATGCCTTTTTTGCATCAAAAATATATGGGTTTTGTTCTTCATTCTGTGATGTATTACATGCACTGATTTGTAGTATGCTGAATCATTTTTTCATCTCTGGGATGAATCTTACTTGATTATGATTACTGATCTTTTCAATGTGCAACTACATTTGGTGGGTATGGTATCTTCTAACAGGAATGAGCTCTAAGGAGAACTATCCCTGGCCATTCAGAAGCAAAACACACACTATCATTTCCACAGGTATCAATGTCTCTTACCTGGAAGATAGAAGCTAAAGAAAGGGTCTGAATCTGCCCCAACAATTATGTTAGAAATTTGGTCAATTACTCCTTCTTGAGCAAGGTACTGTCGTCCATGAGGGGTATATGCCAGTGAGGTCACCATCTCTATACATGTGGCTCTAAAATGAAAGGACAAGAACAAGGAGATTTTGCAAATGAATACCATATTTTAAAAATTATTTTCATTTAAGTTATTTTGTTTAATTCTTCCCACCAAATCTGAAAGGTCCATACTCTTAGCTCTATTTTTCAGATTGATTTATATGGAATCACATGTGTTATACCTGGTAGAGTTTAACCTTAAATCTTGACCTTATGAATTAAAGCTCATTATTATTTCTACTATGACAAAGCTGATTCTTAAGATAAGTTTTCAGTCATATTTTGAAATGTCAAACACACAAAAGGTAATGCAATAAACTATCATGCGCCCATAGCCCAGATTTATAGAGGTCAAAATTTTGCTCTTTTAATCTCTTTTGTTTCATTTTTTGCTGAACTATCTTAAAGAAATCTTAGCGATCTTATCATTTACTCCTGCATATTTCAGTTTGAATCTACGAAGAAAGAAGTATTCCCTCAGAGTTATACTTCCATTATCATATATTAACAAATTAACAATTCTTGGGAATCATCTATAGCTAATCGTGATTGAAGTGCTCCAAATAAATAAAAATAGTATTTTTACAGTGGATACTGTTTATTTTCTGATTATTGGCAGTTTTTCCTATGCTTTTATTACACTAAAATAAATGCTTTGAAACAACGTAACTACTGACTGATTTATGCATGTGAACTAACAAGTTCATTCACATTTAAAGAATGTTAGATAATTAGAAAATCATGATGGGGCAGGATGTGGTGGCACATGTCTGTAATCCCAACACTCCGGAGGCTGAGGGAGGAGGATCGCTGAGTTTGAGGCCAGCCTGGGCTACAGTTCATTCAAACTAGCCTGGACTACACACCAAGACCTTGTTTCAAAAAACCAAAACTAAACAAATAAACAAAAAGAAAGTCATAATAAAAGGAAAATTTAAAACCTACACAAAAAAGATAACTCTAATGTTATTATAACATCAAAATTCTTAAAGCAAGCTAAGTACCCAACAGGGAGATGTTATTAGTAAACTGTGGAATATCAATAAGCAAACCTTTAGCAGCTATTAAAGGGATTTGGGGAACAGGGAGCTGGAAGAGATTGGAATTAACACTCATTTGAGGACCTATGTCCCTATCATGGCAGGTCCCAAGGTCAATTCCCGATTCTCCAAAAGAGGACATTTCACTTTAATAACTCTCTCAGTCAACACACCTGACCAGCACATCTTCACCTGTCAGCTCTCTCAGGAGCTGGGTTACTAATCCACTCATCGTACAGTAGTGTAAAGATTCTGGTGACACAGAAGAAATCTCTATAATTAGCTGAAAGAGAAGAACAGTAAAAACAAGAAAGTTCAAATCATATTAAAACCTGGTAGGTCTCTTTTAAAAGTTAAATGCAGAACTAGGTACTGTATATAAATGAATTTTTAAACAATCCATTGTCTCTAGGAAAACTTTACTGAACATGTAAGGAAATATTGTAGCACCAACATATTCCACCATCTCTGGGTATATCTGCACTTTTCCCCCAAAGAAATCATCCATCAGGGTATAAAAGCCTGAATCAGCAGGAATAAATAGATTATAAAAACCATTCACTCAGTAAATGCAGCTCACAGGTTGAGTATTTGCTTATTAAGTACAGGTCCTGGGTTCAATCCCTAGCACCACAAAAAGAAAAAAAATTCATGTATGCATTCTCAGTTACTTCTTCATTCAATGAAAGCTTACTGATACATAAAGGACATTGGAGGGTTTTGAATAAAGAAGTGACGGAATTAGATATGGATTTTTAAAATAAAAATATAAAAATAAAAATATACTTTAAAACATCATGCTGTTTGAAATATATTATTTTACCTGTTGACTTAAAAAAGTAATGTTTGGGAAGGAAAGATCATTATGACTGCATGTAAAATACACTAGAGATGACAAAGCGGGGAGATCAGCCTGGACACTGGTAGGTTACTCTAGGGTCACAGTGGCTATGCCAATGAAAAGAAATGCTGGGGTTTAGGTAAACATGAGGACAGAATAGTTATGTGAAAGAACAAATCCTCTAACAGAATGACCCCAAAGTCTAACAACCAACTATGTGGACTTTAAAACAGGGACAGTTTTGTTGCCACTGTTTTTTTTATGCAAGAATGGGGTGGATCAGAAATTCAGTTTAGGGATATGAGCGACCTAGAATACACCCACTAGGACAAGTAAGCAGTTGGATATCAAGGTCTTTCTTTAGAAAAGATGTCTAGATTGGAAGTTTACATTTGAGAGTCATGATCACATAGGTGAAAATTGAAATCATAAGAATAAAAGTGTCCAGGAACTGGCTGTAGTGGTGCATGCCTGTAATCCAACTCTCTTGAACCTGGGTAACTTAGTGACTTAAGTACGAGCCTGCCTCAAAATAAAAAATAAAGGGCTGGGAGTATGGCTCAGTGCAAAGGCCCTAGATTTATGCCCTAGTACTAAAGAAAAACAAAACAATGACTAGAGCTTATGGTGAGAGCAGGTATTGGTACTTTGCCTTCATGAGATCTGACAATTAAAGGCTCAACAGAAGAGGATAATGAATCACAGGGAAGAAACCAAAGGAAAACCAGGGCAGTGTGGTATCAAAGTAAGAAACTGTTCCATTCTGTTGCCTATTAAGGGGTATGCTCTTGGATCAGTAACTCCTGAGGTTAATAATTACATAAAGTTTACTATTAGAATATATGTAGGAATTTCCACACAGTGCTCAGTACAAAGCTGATGAAAATGAGAGCTATTTTTTTTTCCTCACTAGTACTAACTTTTTTGGTCTCGTTTCAGTGTTACCTCTTTTAGTATTTACACTGCATTATAAATTTTTTTGTATGACTGCACTACACACCAAGCTAGGAACGTATCCCTACATTCCCAGCTCTGTGTATAGGGCCTATACCCTGAAGAAATGCATACTAAGCCATCCTGCTTTCCATTATAAGTTTACTACACCCTGCTTTGTAAGGATCGGAAAGTATGCTTTCAGGCGTACCTCATACACTCTATATCGAACAACATCATTTGTTTTCATTACGTTTTTCAAATCGTCCAGCAGATTGCTCTCAAATAAAGCTTCGAGTCCAGCTTGTGTTAGGGATATTCTTGACAGGGATTTGATAGCCTTATAAGGAAAGAAAAAAAATCTAAGTTACCAAAATAAAGAATATTTTTTATTTATTTCTTATGTGAAAACTAGTGCATAAAATATACTTGCTCAGTGAGCATTCCTTACAATCACCTATTGGTATTTACAACTGGCAAAGATAAAGCAACCCAATGTAAGCCTGACAGAAATTGTAGTTATCTGTATCCTATAAAATAGAAGGGATTCACTACTATTTATATTTTTTTAGTATATGTGCTGGCAAAGTAAACATACTACTGTTTATGTGATAACCATTTATTTGATAGCACCTACATAAAATTAAAAATTCATTTCCATAAGTCGTCCATTCTAAATCTTCATCTCTCTATTCAGAAAGCCTTTTCTGACATTAGGACACTAGTATCTCTATATATTGAGTTAAAGGTTCTAGTAAACTCACCGCTTTAGCTACAGATAGATTCTCTCCACCAATGCAATACACAATTTGTTTCAGTAGTTCAGCATTATTTAGAATCTCAGTAACAGCATCAGAATTTTCAACAATTCTTCCAACCTGAAAGAAAAAGAAAAAAAATAAACAATCAGAAACACTTATCCAAGGTAGAACAACATGTGAATACATGATGGCCACATTCCTTTAATGTCCCATTATCTTGAAGTTAGTGATTACAGCTGTAAGACAAGTTGCTAAAAATTCACAATGACTCAAATTTATTAAAGCCAAATACACTTATGGTGTAGTGACACATTTAAACGAAAAGAATAAACAAATGGGTTAAGAATGGAGCTAGAAAAAGAAAAAAAGAGAATGGAGCTAGGTCAGCGAGTAAAAATGAGACTACATAGGCAAAAGACCTATTACAATGTCTGACACATACATGGTCAATGAATAAATATAAACGTTCCTCTTTTTATTGAATAAACACTAGTTAACGAGAGGAAAATTATTAAATATCTGCTGGAAAACTAATTGCTTAGTTCCTAACATTTCAGTAAAGTCATCCTTAACAGCAGCTCTTCACTCAAAAAGTAGGATGTTTTGGTTACTGGGATAAAAGTTATTGTCTTAATTTATTGGCTTACGGACCTGCACAACAGTTCTTAGTTCATGGTGCTATAATAGGACCACTGTAGGCAGGGTAGCAATTTGAACATTTGGAAATTTTTATCTTTAGGAGCTACTTGAATAAAACCCAAATTTATCCTGGTAACTCCAACAGTGTATGACACAATTCCTGGCATCAAAGGAATTCAGTCAGTATTTGATTGAGTGCATGATGAAGTTTTCACTTTAGCTTGTACTTCCCAGGTTATAGTTAGATAGGCACAACTAAACAGACTAAACACAGCCTAGGAAAAGAGATTGGTACCCAGCATAGAACTTGGCCCAGAGCAGCTGGTTAATGTTGGTTCCTTCTTACATGTGCTGGTAAAATTTCATACCTGGGACAGAGTGAGGATTTTTACAGTATCATCAGGGTGTGTCAGTCCCCTCTGTAGGTCAACCCTGAGGTTTCTGGCCACGTGAACTGGTTCTACAGCTTGAAGCAGTCTCTCCAGAATGGATACACACAAAGCAGTCTGTTCTCTAAAGGAGACACCATAGATCTCATTAGTGCACATCTTGCCAAACTGAAAGCAACAACTAATAATGGCTGAAGCTTGGCTCAAGAGGGACTTCCTCCATAAAAGCTCTTCTTCCAAACAGTGGCTTCCACTCATTCATTAAACACTTGCTAAGTGCCTGTTATCTGTAATATCTGTGCTGGGGTTACAAAGGATAACACATTCTGTAACCGTAAGGAGCTTAGTCTAATAATGAGAGATACAGAAAAATTAAAGGCAACTATAATGTAGTAGATAAATATTATAGGCTAGGGCTGGAAGGTATGAGAGCTTAAAAAAGACAGTAAGGTACAGGGAAGGATTTCCAGACAGATAACACCTGAACTAAATTTTAAGAAAAAGTGGGTGTGATCTAGAAGAATGGTGCTCCAGGCAGAGGCAGTAGCACCACATGAAAAAGCACAGAAGAGTAAGACATAGTGATATTTACAAGGAAACACATACAGCTTGATATGACTGGGGTCAAAAGGAGGGAGGGAGTAGAGATAGGTCAGTACAGACCTATCTACTAACCTATCAGGGTCAGAGGAAAAGGCAAAAGGCTGAGATGAATGGCAAGAAATGAAACAGGAAAGACCCACAGAACCAGATTTCAAGAGGTCTTTTGTATTAGGCTTCGTGTTGGAATTCTTTCAGGGAAGAAATGGCAAGCCACGAAGTAGCTTTAACAGAGAGCTTGCATGATGAGATGACTTACAGGAATCACTCTACCTCTTGGAATGTAGCTCAGTGACAGAGCAAGTAAAAGGCCCTGGGTTTGATTCCTAGCATAACCCCCCATCACTGTGCAGGGAGAGACAGAGAAAGAATTTTCAATTAGAAGGCAGTTAATATGTGGAAGGGGATAAAGGAATGAATAGGAAAATAGCAGTGGGGATGGAGAACAGAGAAAAGATACAATAGTTAATAAAGAGGTAAATTTATCGGAATTTCATGAATATTAGTTGTAGATACAGACCCATTTCAAGAATGATTTCCTTAACTCTTACTAGACAGCATAAATCAGCTAATACACTGCTAATAGCACTATACAGTTAGTACAGTTAGTACTGGTACATCTTTTTTAGATGGTAATTAAGGAATACAAACCAAAACCTTAAAAATGAACATCCTTTTTTAGGGATTCCACTTTGCTTATGTGATCCTAAAGGAATAATTAAGAATGGTTTTATACTCAATATAATTGAAAACATGTTTACACAAAAACCTGTTCATGAATGCTCACAGCAATGAAAACCACACAACTGTCTATCAACTGATGAATGGATAAATGCAATGTGTTACTGCCATACAAAGTATTTCAGTCATAAAAAGGAAGTAGGGAGGGAGGAGGGTAGGAATTAAAAAAAAAAAAAAAAGCTGTATTATGTACATGTACCCACTCCCCAGATGAATGTAAACTTCATGTATTGTAAATATGTACCAATAAGTTCCTAAATACATTTTTAAAAAGGAAGTACTCACATGCTACAACAGGAACCAACTTTGAAAACATGCTAAGAAACCAGACACAACAGGCTTCTTTTTAATGATAACTCTACTTATATGGAACATTCAGAAAATAGACAAATCCACAGAGATACAAAGTTGATTCCTGGTTACAAGGGGCCATGGGAGGGAGGGGAATAGAAGGGAAATGGGAATTGATTGCTCCTGGGAGTGGGGTTTCTTTTCCTTTGTTTTTAAAAAAAAAATTGTGAGTAAAACAGGGCAAGGTCATGCCTATGATCCCAGTGACTTGGAAGGCTGAGAGGCAGGAGGATTTCCTGAGCCTAGGAGTACAAAAGCAGCCTGAGCAACATAGCAAAACCTGTCTTTAAAAAAAAAAAAAAAAAAAGGTGATATGTAACATAAAATTCAACATTTATATTGTTGTGCAACCATTACCACTGTCCATCTCCACAATTTTTTTATCTTTACAACCTGAAATGCTGGACCTATCAAATACTTCCTCAACCCCAGCAACCACCATTCTACTTTCTCCCTAAATTCTGAGTATTCTAGATAAATCAATAAATGATATCACATTATCTTTTTCCTTTCATATTTTATTTCACTTAATATAATGCTTTCCAAACTTCGTTGGTCAGAATTTCTTCCATAAGGGTATGCATATAATACATCATTGTAGGTAGATACACATGCACATTTAGCTATTCATTCTCATTTTAACTTTAGCCATTCTAATGACTGTTTAGTAAAATCTCATTGTCATTGTATTTCCCCAATGATGATATGACTAATGATGATATGACTCTTCATGTACTTAATTTGCTGTTTGTATATCTCTGGTTCAAATCTTTTGCCCAGTTTTTAATTGGGTAGTTTCATTTCCTGTTATTGAATTTTGTGAGTACTTTATACATTCAGAATCCAAGTCCTTTATCAGATATAGCCTATGTAAAGATTCTTCTCCACTATGACTTGTCTTTGCATTCTTTTTAACTGTGATGTCTGAAGAGTAGAATGTTTTATTTACTATTTATTTATTTTGTCTTTTTGAGACAGAGTCTCACTATGCAGTTCAGGCTAGTCTTCAACTCACTTTGTAGCCTAGGCTGCCCTCGAACTCGCAACAATCCCCTGGCCTCAGCCTCTCAAGTGCTGGGATTACAGGCGTGCACCACCATGCCCCGCGAATGTTTAATTTAGATAAATTTCAATGTATCAATTTGTTCTTTTATGGAATACACTTTTGTTGGTATCACAGCAAAGAAATCCATCAAACCCAAGGTCACAAAAAGTTTTTCCTATACTCTCTTCTAGAAGTTTCATAGCTTTGGGTTTCATATTTGGGTCTATAACCCACTCTCCTACATTGTTAGTGAGAATGTAAAATGGTATAACCACTTTAGAAGAATATGGCAGTTTCTTAAAAGTTAAACATACCTACCATAGTACCCAACCATTCCATTCCTGGGTATTTACTCGGAGTAAAGAAACAATATGTGTATATAAAGACTTGTACATGAATGTTCTTAGAAGTGTTATTTGTAATATCCCCAAACTGAAAGTAGCTCAAATATGCAGTAATAGGGTGGGTGATAATCAAATTTGGGTACATTCATACAATGGATTATTTACTACTCACTAATAAAAAAGAATCAACCATTCATGTCACATAGGTAAATTTCAAAATAATTATACTGTACAAAAGGTATCAAAAAACAGTACATACTGTATGACTCTGTGTATATAACACCCGTCCCCATACACCAGCCAAAACCCCAGCAAACTTCTCTACTGATGGAAAGCAGATCATTGGCTGCCTGGCTAAGGTGGGGAGGGATTACCATAGGGCATGAACTTCTGGGAGCAAAAGATATGGCCACTATCTTGATTGTGGTGATAGTGGCACGAGCATACACAAGTCAAAACTTGTCAGGCTGCACATTTTATATATGCGTTTCACTGCATGGGAATTATATCTCAATAAAGCTGTTTTTTAAAAAGCAGTAGTAATACATTAAACAGCACAGTGTGCAAATTTCACTGCTGTTTTAACCTGTTACAATTTATAATCAGTCTTGTCTCATTTTCATGTCATAAAGTAGTAATCTTAAAACTTAATTTCCCTTGCAAAAACTGTCAAGAGTCTAGAATTACTGTAGCTCAGTGGTGAATGTTCACTTAACCTGCACAAGACCCTGGGTTTGATCTCCAGCACTGCATGCAAAAAAAAAAAAAAGGTTCTAGATTTGTATACCCAAGGTCAGAACTTGAACCAGTACAGAGCAACCTATGTGGTTTAGCCAGGATAACTATAGTATATCTGGTGACTACCAGTATACTATCCAGAGAATTATTATTTCTACAGTATGTAGCCAATGTGTGTTGCTCTGTCTTTAAATTTTCATTAATTTTTTCCCCCCTAGAACATTACTGCATCATTTAGCCAACTGTTTTCCTCATGGACCTACTTCTCAAACTCCCCATCACTTCAGTTTCAGTTGTGTCTCTGTTGACAATTTGCAGTGTGACCTTTGAAAGTCTGATTGTAACATGAAGGAGTCAGTCTAGGTGCCCTCTCTAAACTCTATGAGCCTCACTGCTCATGAGGCATATAGAGCATTTCATGCTGTGTCCTAGGGAGGGATAGAGATGAACAAAGTATGGCCCCTATCTTTAAGGAACTAAAAACTAGAAGCACACACAGATCTATAACAAGGCAACTGCATCAAGTACCCTTAAAAGAAATAACGATAATGTCCTTTAGGAGAGCTGAGGCACAGTCACTCGGAGTAACTGAGAGACAACTGAATACCGTCAGGAAAATTTAAGTCATGATCTAAGGAATGTGGGAGGTGTGGAACCCTGGGTGAAACAGGTGGAGTAAAGGGAAAAGATGAGGATGGAGAAGTAGGATGGTAATATATAAGACATGATTTCACACTATAGGAAAGGGAAACCATGGAAATAGTTTGAGCCAACTGACTTGAGAATTTCACTGTGGCTATAGGGAGGGAAGGACTAGATAGGAAAGGAAATGCAGAGGTAACGACTGTCACAAATATAAGAGACCCAGCAAGAGGGAGAAAATAAGGCCCTAAAGAGAGAAAAAAAAGGAGGTACTTCGTAAAGAGATCTGAATAATGATAACTAATGGATTTAAGAAGAGGAAAAACTCATAAATGGGAGGACTCTTAAAAGGCCAGCGCCATGGAAGATGTCTTAAATCATCCAGTGTTAATACGGTAGTTTTTTTTTTTTTCAAGTAGAAAGGTCACTTTTATATTACGGATCACAAACGTTTAAAAACTCCTTTAAATGGTCGCATTATCGAATACAAAAGTTTTCATCGAACATTATTGATGTGTATCAGTCAAAAGTAAAAGCTATTGTACTAACATTTTAATTTCCTCTTCCATACTAACAATTTCTGTTGTACCTATGCAAATATCCCTATGCTCTACAAGTTACACAAACCTTGGGTGTAGGGGGTGGGGTGAGTGATGTAATTCATTTTTAAAATTACACGTAATGGGATCATAAAAGTTGCAATTTTCTTTTTTCACTGAACAACACAGAGTTGAGATCTTTCTATACCGACATCTACCCCCATCCTTTAAATAGTTGCACAGTGTTACACACTAACGTCACATAACTTATTTATAAGTATAGGGCTTTTTTTTTTTTTTTTGCCGTCACACACCATCTGTTAAAGAGCATTCCTGTATATAGAGCACATTTTATGCGAGTATGGCTGCATTCTTAAATTCCTCTAACAGGAATGACTGAAATTAAAAAGTAAGTAAGTTTAAAATATTGATAGATCCTGCCATATTGCCTGGAGAGGGCTCTTTGGAAGAGGAGGAAAGTCCCCCAACTAACAGTTTTTGTAGGTGGACAGCCTTGCTTTGTTTCTCCAATTCCTGCTCCGCAGTACGTCAGTGAGGCCAGGGGACCAGGTCAGGTCACCCCTCAGAAGCTGGCTCTGAATCTCATGCCTTGCCTCTCAACCCTGCGTCCTTCCCTTCTCTGCAATTTGGCCTAATTTCTGCCTGGCAAAAAAATTAGGAAAATGATTCCCTTCGCTTCCACCCACCCTCGTCATCGTACTTGGCGATACCTCTCCCCTGCTCAAGCCCCGCGGTTCTCTCACCGATGGTTGTCGTTTAGCAGGGAGAAAAGGGGGGCGAGGTGCAACTCCGCCGCCTGCTCTCGAAGCTCGCTGAGCGGTACAGCCTGTACCACCGATTGTAGCGCACGTAGCTCTTCCAAAGGCGCTTCCAGCCGCGCCACCTCCCTCAACAGAGACAGCGCCTGTGCTGCCATCTTGCCGGCTCCTCCCCGCCCACCCAAGAGGTTCCCGGGAAGCTTCTCTAAATTTCGCGAGATTTCGGGAGGCAGCCTCTCTTCCCGCCTGCAAATCTCGCGAAGCGGAATGTCTGAAAGGTCAAAGGTCACCAGTGGTGGGCGTCTCTGTCTGACGTTATTGGGGACCCTGTACAGTTGGTTTAATAAGCCGGTTTTCAGCTTGGTAAAGGACACCGAGGATGAGCTCTCAGCAGATGTTCAACCAGCAGAGCGGAGAGGATGAGGACTCTTCGGCAGGCATACCGCCTTTCGGACGGCCTTAGGGCCCCAAGGCCAGGCTGTCCGATGCAGATTCCTGAGCCCACCCAGGCGGAGCTAGGGAAGCGGGGTGAAGGCGTGAGTAATACGGAGCTCCGGCGCTTCGTTAGCGTCGATGACTCAACCGTACGCCTGATTTAAAAAATACATAAATAAATAAAACAACGAGAGGGCCACTGGCCGGCGTGGACAATGTTCACTCATCTTCTCGAAGGTGCTGGACATTCTGTGATGTAAACATCGAGAAGATGGAGGGTGCGTTCACTTTCCGAGTGGACGCGCAGACCATCGAGTGGTGGCCTCTGACTCAGAGGCCCTTTGCAACAAGTTAACCGCAACTGTCGGCGGTGTCTGATGGAAATCAGCGGTCAGGGCAAGCTAGATAAGTTTCGTGCGAGCAACGGATTGCATGACAGGTTTCAAAATCAATGTTTGCAGGGCAAAAGGTTGACAGAGGCAGGAAGAACCGTTTTATGTTGAGTTGGCACCCATGTACCGCAAGCAATCGGAAAGACTGATCAAAGATAGAAGCTGTAGTCCTCAACGCTTCTCAGTGCCAAGGCGATGAGCCTATTTTGGAAATGCATGCCTTCCCATAATTTTAAGGAAATATGCGCAAGTCTGGAACGCTTAGTGGAAACGAAAGACAGAATTTCTTCTCTGTCTGTCTGTCTCAGTCTCTGTCTCTCAGTCTGTCTGTCTGTGTGTGTCTCTCTCTCTCCAGTGCCCCAGTTAACAAAATAAAACTGTTGCTGTTTTACAAAGACTTTAGTCCCACTTGTCTTAGAAAAAAATAACTTCCTATAATCTGGTGATCACAGCACAGAGTATCCACAACCACTGCCCTCTCTTTTAGATTTATAGTTTATTTTCTTTATATACTTGGTACTAGAGATCAACCCAGGCCCTCACACATGCGAAGCAGGTGATCTATTGCTTAGCTACATCCCGAGTAGCCCCCTCACCTTTTAAATTTTTGAGATGGTCCCGTTGCCCAATCTGGTCTCCAACTAGCGAGCCTCCTAGTAATTGTAACTAGTGAGCCTCAGCCTCCTGAGTAATTGGGATTACAGCCGTGCACCACCTTGTCTGGCTTGGATTGGTTTCTTAATTGTTTGACCACGCAGCTCAAAGTTAATTTAGTAGGAAAAAATCCTGGGTTCATAGTGTGGCTAATTTGCAGACAAAAGTCTTGGTCATCTAGCCAGTGGTGCGAATTGATGGCACACTTACGAAGGTGGGCTGTTTGTTTTCACTGAAAGCTCTAAAACATTGACCATCCCTGATAGGCCCACTGTTCTTTGCTTGGTCTCATGTTGCTGTTGTGTTTCTACCTTTGGAAGACACTGGCTTTCTCTCTTGGATCACTCACTGGATATAGTTAAAGGGCTCACAAGGTATTAAGCATGTACTTGACCACTTTGTTGACACCTTGTTTAAATCAAAGCTGACCATACTGTAATACTGCAAGTGCTTGAATAGTAATAACAGAGAGGTTTGGTAATATAAAACCAACCATTGTTCATAAAGGTTGGTGGAAACTGTAGATTGTTGAGAATGATTATATGTGTTTCACTAGAATTGAAGTTGGAAAAAAAATCCTAGTCTGCAAAATAGAAAGGTTATAAATTCACTGATATCAAGGAAAATAAAATTAATGAGCTACTCAAGTTTGAATCATTGGTAATAACTGAGAGTCTATATCCATAGATAAAGAAGACCAATCCTTACCACCAGAGGTGAAGGAAAAGTCTAAGGAAATTGCATGCTGTTTTGTGCTTCAGAACTCTTTGGTGCTGCAGTTATGGATCCCTTCCTGGGCTGAAGTTTGTCTTTTCAAAAAGATTTCAGTAAATTGCTCTGTATCTATAAAAAGCTGTAAAAGAACCTTCAGAAGGAAGGAGTTGATGAAGGAAGACAAGTAAGTAGGTGAGGGAGCTGGCTGCAGTATCTGAAGGGAAGTTGGAATCTTGCTCAGAATCTGAGGCTGAGACAGAATTCCATAAGAAGGGGGAGAGGAAGGATAGGTGAAAAAATAAAAGTGTCCAGGGGAGCCTGGATGCTCAGCACTAAAACTCGTGGTATATCTGAAGAAACTCAAAGCCATCAATACAGAATTGGGCTTCTGGAGTCTAAAGAGGGTGAGGTATCTGGAGTTGAAGGATGAAGAGGATCCAGAGGTTGCATCTTCCAAGTAACAGTTCATCTTTTGGCATCCTCCTCTTGTTACCTCAAGTAGCACCTTCATCGCTTCCGTCGTTACAATCAACAGCCATGCATTTTGTAATATTTATTCATTCAACAATGACAGTAAACTGCACAGGATCCTGTGCTAAACATCATCGCAGGAAATGATCTGAGGAGCTGAGGTAAATAGTCATTACACCGTACTTATTAATGTATTAGATATGAAAGATCATGGTGCTGGTTTACTTTAGTGGGCTTAAAATATAAAGGTTTTGCTAGGACCATTAAGCTTCATTTTCTCTTATATAATTCTTATAGATAAGAAAATTTGCAGTCAAATAAAGATTGAAAGTTGATGCTACTTGCTCTTGAAATGGTGATGTCTTACATTTTATAAATCTCTCAACATTAATCTATTAATCCTGAGCTCATACCTATGAAAGAAATGCTAGCGCTTCCTTTACGAAAAAGCCTCCGACACTCAGAGGTTAATAAGTGTGCCTGAGTCTGCACACCTAATTATGTAAACAACAGGATTCGGACTTTGGATTAGGACTTCAACTGATTAACTGTTTGTGGGACACACTGCCAAGAAGCACACAAGGCCTTCAAAAATGTAGCCTAAAGGAGTGAAACAGGTCAGCAGGTAATTGCAGTAAAGAGGGAGGCTGTGAACTGGCAATTTGCAAGGCATATTTGGTTAAAATCCACCGTTTGTTTTATTTCCCCAGCTTGAAACTATTTTTAATTGGTTTCCAACATTTTGTCTTTTTTCTTTAAGACGTTGTTTACATAAATAAAATTCAGCTGTTTAAGTGTACAGTTCATTGAACTTTAACACTTTTGTAACTGCAACCGGATCAAGATAAAACAGTTCCCTTAACCTAATTTACCTGTAACCCTATCCACTAAATCTCTTTCCCTGTGACCAGAGCTGTCATCATTTTTTTTGGTTTGTTTTTATTTTTTTGAAATGACATCTTGCTAAGTTGCTCAGGCTGACCATAAACTATTGCTCTTCCTGACTCAGCCTCCCAGATGCTGGGATTACAGGCTTATGTCCGTGTGCCCAGCAGAGTTGTCATCATTTTGAAATTAGAATGTTTCACTTTAAAAAGCTAGATTAAAAATGTGGGAGCCCTGGCAAAAGGGAACACTGTGTTCTGAGAGGACAACAGCTAGCCATCAGCTTGTAGTTTTCTTACTTGTTTGCAGCTCTGTGAAATATGTATTAAATTCTTCAGCCTAAGTATGTGGAATGTGCCTTAGAAAAGGACTGAGTTACTGCTAGGAAAGGCCACCCAGAGCAGCTGGTATGGAAGGAGGAAGCAAGAGTGGTCTAAGCCAAGGAGAATTGGAAGGAAGATCTGGGAAGAAGGGGTGATGTGTGAGATGGTGGCCTTAATTTGTACTTCACATGGTTTGTTGGTGGCTTAGGCCTCCTTAGAGAGGGTGTGTGCATGTTTGTGTGCTGTGGTTTCTGAAGGTTTTATAATGCAAGCAAGGTTTGTCTTTTTATCTGTACCTCTCTGCAAATAACTTTTCTTCTTTTTCTTTTTTCTTTTTTGGTGCTTAGAGAGGAAGAGAAAATAGCATGTATTTTTTGCAAGAGTTGTGGGTGTGAGTACTGTGGTTTGTTAAGTTTCAAAGGAGGGGTGTTCCCAACTCTACTGTGTCTGCCCGCCTGATAGGAGAGGGGCGGGGCTGGGCAGTTTGCAGGCAGAAGGCGTGGGGAGAGGGCAGTTAAGGTCCTGTGTACCCGCCCACCAGCCGGGCTGTAATTCACTGCCAGTGCCTTGTGCTAAACTACCTGCAGCTATGGACTGGCTGGGATCACGGTGCCCTCTGCCAGGCTACTCTCGGACCTCTGCCCTTATATGCCTCTTGGTGAGTACCCCAGTCAACAATGTTGTGAACCCCCTCAGCCTTAAACCTGAGGACGAGGGAGGAGGGATGAAGGGAAGACTTGATTCTTTTAACAGCTCTTGGGATTCTGAGCAGGGGCCGGGCAGGTAGGAGGTGAACTGTAAGATCCTTGGAAGCACTACTCGGTGTGGAGATTGTGGGGTGGTTCTCAGGGTTACCTGAATAACTTAAGTCGGCCTGGTGCGGATAGGTGACTGGGCCGTCCTTCCTAGAGCGGGGGAGGGATGGGGTGTGTGCGGCGGAAATCGCACCTGAGCGATTTGTGAGAGATTCCAGTAGCAGTTACCATCTCATTTCTCTGTAGTTTTCTGGCAGCTATGTTTTCTCATCTCTGAAGTATCTTAAACTGTTAATCTTGAAAGTGAGAACAGAGTAACCCCAATGGCGATGGGGTCGGGGAGGGAGTTGTAGGAGACTCTGAAGTTCAGGCTCTAGTCCGGCTCTGCTGCTCACTTTTGGAGCGATCGCTCCTCTTTGGCCATTATTTCCTCATCTGTGAAAAGTGGTACGGATCAGTGAGTCTTCACTTTTAGGGATTATAAATCTCTCTTCTTTTTTTTTCCTGGAAGTTATGAATATGTATCCCAGGAAAATATTGCATTTGATTTTAGAGTATTTAGAGATTCCTTACAACTAGGGAGATTACTAGCTTAGTGCCACTGGAATAGGTAGTTTCTGAGGCTTGTCACAGGCTGTAAAGTCAACCGTATCCTCTTCAAAAGTTATGTACATACTCAAGGACCAATAAAGGAAAAAGGTCAGATGAAATAGGAAATAACAGAGTCGCTGGATGTGGTGACACAGGCCTGTAAAACCAACACTGGGAGGCTGAGGCAGGAGGATTGCATGTTCAAACCTAGCCTGCCTCTTTTTGTATTGCCTCTCTTCCTGTTATTTCCCCCAAGTAGAGAACTCTAGAGTGAAAGAGGTCTGTAGTCTTTCATTTCTTCCTTTAAGTATTTGTCATTAAAATAAAAAAAGAAATTTCATCTCAAAATGTCTTCCTGTCACATGGTTACTGCCACCTGCATCAGGATCTTAGTGTCTTTTTCCTGGGTCCTGGAAGTGGGTAAGTAATCTGCCTTCTGGTCTCTCCCCACTCCTGGCCATTTTTGTAAGTCTGCTTGGCTTGACTGTATTATTGCCATCCTACTTCTAAACTTCTACAAGCATCCTTTCCCCTGAGTATAAACCCCAAATTCCTTGGTTTGATCCATTTCTATCTAATTCTAGCCAGCCTCCCTTCTTCTGGGTATCTTCACACCCATCCACACACTAAGGCCCACTCAGACTGGATATTTCATCTGTCCTTCATGCCCCCTGCGTTGCATATTTAGTCATTTGCCTGGAATCCTTCCCCCCCATCTTATAATCCTGCTTTTTTTTTTTTTTTAAACAAGGTTTTGCTGTGTAGCCAGGCTGGCTTCAAACTAGTGATTGTCCTGCCTCAGCCTCCTGAGTGCCAGGATTACAGCTATGCACCACCACACCTGGTTAAATTCTTATTACTTCAGATCCAGCTCAGCTGAGATCTCTTTGTTCCTGACCTACATCTTACCTTCTCTTCCAAGTCTTTTTCTGCTCTCTCCTGTGGAGCCTTCCTCTTGGTTGTCCTAGCTCTCCATCTCATGGGCACAGGTTGCATTGTTTTAGAATTGGTCTGTTTGCGTACTATGTTTTACGCTAGACTCTACACAGCAGCTGATAGATGCAGATGGATGCACATGAAAGTACTCTCCCGGAGTCCATGGATTTAAGAGCTTATTGTTCATTACAATCCCCACAGGATGATAGCAGGTTAGTGGATGCCATTAAGTATTACCTGAAATATAATAAAAGCGGGTATGAAGTCATCCAGGCTTGAGTTCAAATTCCGGTTTCACCAATCAAAGCTCTATGATTTTAAGCATTTTATTTATTTTTTTATTTTATGGAAAATTTTATAACAAATAATAGGAAAATAACAATAGTTAATACATTGTGTATTGTTATCTTCATGGTAGTTACTCAGAGTACAAGATATGGGCATAAAAAATCCTCCAAATGATATTAGCTCAAACCTTTCTTTTCAGTGAACTAAGAGGGACTAGTAATATATCCAGTATTTTTTTTCTTTTCCCTTCTTTCCTCTCTCCTTTCCCCTACTCTAGTTCCTCTTTCCGTTTGAACAATTTCTTCCCATTTCACGGTATCTATTACACATTTTGGTCCTTAGTCGGTCCTCACACCAGGGAGACAATATGATGTTTACATATGTGAGTCTGATTTATTTCACTTATGGGTGTGGTCTCAAGTTGCATCCATTTACCTGTAAGTGTCTCAAGTTTAGCCTTCTTTATGCCTGAATAGTACTCCCTTATAATAAAAGACCACATCTTTTTTTTACCCATTCCTCTGTTGATGGGCATTTGGGTTTCTTCCAAGATTTAGCTATTACAAATGGATAGATTCCTAGACACATATGAAATGCCAAAACTGAATCAAGAAGGTATAAAAATTCTAAATAACCCAATATCAGTCAGTGAAATTGAAAGTGTAATTTAAAACTTACCAACAAGGAAAAGCCCAGGTCCCGATGGATTCAGTGTTGAGTTCTTTAAGATACTTAGAGAAAAACTAATGCCACTAATACTGAAACTCTTTAGTGCAATTGAAAGGGAAGCAACACTTCCAAAATCATTCCTGGAAGCAAGTATTACCCTGATACCAAAACCAGAGAAAGACCCAACCAAAAAAGACGTGAAGTATTTTTTAAAAAATATTTGTGAGCCTCCATTTTTTTCTCATCTAAAAAATAAATACCTAGGCATGAAAACTTTTTTGAAGCACTCACACTCAGTGCAGCTCTCAGGCATTACGCTGTGGATGGGGTGAGGGGACGAAAAGATATCACAGCCTTGGTTCCAGTCTGCTTGAGCTGGGCGTTGCTGACCTGCGCTTTTCTTTTCTACCGCAATAGATCCTGCCAGCTGCGGCTTTTCTGGTGTACCCCATGCTCAGGACCCTGAGCCTACAGCTCCACTCAGCCATCACCAGCACCTACGCCTCTGGTGCTCACTCTGTCATCTTCGTCAACTGTCCCAATGAGCAAATTGCCAGAGACATTGCCAGGTACAGTGCAGGGGCAGCCGTGCTGCTCCAGGTGTCCTGGGACCTATCAGCGTGCTTGAGAAAGGCCACTTTGGGGCCCCTGGTGTCTGACGACCCTGTCTGTCCAAAGGTGGACTCCAGGCTGTTTGCTTGGGGGGTAGGAAGAACTCAGCTGGATGATTCCCCAGCTGACCCTGCCCCAGGCCTGGGAATGCTGACCGGTCTATGGGGCATAAAAGGGAGGGAGAGGTACGAGACCAACAGAGATATGTGACTTATTCAAGGCATTAAGTAAGAGAACACTGGAACCCTGCAGGCTGACAATTTAATTCTCCTGATTTCTGGCCCAGCCCTGTTCACTGAGGTATTCTCTTACTTCCTGGAGGTACCGTACATGTGCTGTTGCTGAGGAGGAGGCCATTGCAAGTATTGGGTAGTTTCTGGAATCAGGTTGGTTATGCTGGGAAGAGCACTGAATTTGGGATTAGGCCAATTTTGGCTGAGCCACTTAACTATAATGTGGACCTTGAGGGATCTTTGGGCAAGTTGCTTTGCTTTGTTTTGCACTGTCTTCCCTCCTCTCTCCCTTCCCTCCCTTCTCCCCTCCCACTTCCTTTCTCCCCTCCTCTTCTCTCCCCTTCCCTTCCATTCCCACCCTCCCCTTCCCTCCCCTTTTCCCTTTTCTTCCTTTCCTCTCCCCTTCCCCCTCCCCTCCCCTTCCCCCTTCCCTTCCCTTCCTTTCCCTTCTTTCTATATACAACATGTACCCCAGTAAATGGAATGTAGTATATGCCCAATAAATGTTGGTTGTATCTGAATTTCCCTTTTCTGTATAGATGTAGCTTTTTTGAGGGTATGTATTTGTTTGGGACAAGGTCTTGCTGTATAATTCAGGCTGGCCTCAAACTTGACGTGTTCCTCCTGCCTCAGCCTCCTGAATGCTGGGATTATAAGTGTGCACTGCCATGCCTGGCTGTAAGATGTAGGTTTGGAGAAGGTTAGTGGAGCTAGAAGAGAATGGATTGGGCTCTTTCCTTCTTTTCTTTTTGCTTTACAACTTCGCGTTCTTGAAGTTAATGACAGACCAAGATTAATGCAGGGTCACAGTCAGAGATGTCTGCAACTTAAAGACTAAAGTGGGCTGGGGTGTAACAGTGAAAGATGATGGTAGTTGCTAACCCTTGAGCTCCCTGTTAGGAGAAAGGAGCAATGGGAACTGTGTTAAACGGAGAAGCGTACTTCCTGCTAGAAGGAGTAGCTGCTGCTCAGCACTAGCTTAGCTAAGTGTAACCTATGAGCCTGCAGGCTTTGTGGTAGGTTCATTATTTTCCAAGAAACTAGGTAATCTGTATTTTTTGAGTATGGACTGTACTGATATTAAATATTGGTGACAAAGTCAAGATTTTTTTTAACTGCCATGAGAGCCATGCCATGAATCTAGTCTGTGACAAGGTACTGACCTATGACCTCTGCAGTTTCTAGGGGCGCCAGTGGCTCTGCACCTCTCTCTTCTGCTTCTGGAGCCTGAGCCCTCTGTGTGTGACTCTCTGCTGGTTTTGAGTGGTTATGTGCCTGCTTTACAAGGGAGTGCAGTAGGCCTGCCCCTGTGCTTCCTTTTGAAGGCCATAGGGGCTTTTAGTGTAACAATCCCTCATAGCTCTGCGATCTTTTCCCTGAAGAAAAGTTTATGTGTTCAGTCCCTGAGGAGTTTACGTGCCAAGAGGTGGGAAAGCACCCGTGAGGCCATGGGATTAGTTTTTCTAGATGTGTAACTTACTCACCGTGCCTGCGTGTGACCTTGAGAACAAACAGAATGTAATTTTTTAGTGGATGACTGAGCAAGGCTCACTCATAGCAGTTGCCTAAAAAAAGTTCTTGCCACATGTCTCTTCTTACAGTGGGGAATTTTCCAAGGGAGCAGTGATGGCGATAAGGTCACATTAATATGGATCCTTAAATAGAATACTCCTCAGCCTGGGACTCAAGGGAAGAGAAAAGAGGTCAGTTCTCTCGGCAGCAGCTGAGGGAAGGAGAGATCAGTGACCAGGCCTCAGATAAGGTTTGTTTGGCTGGGCCTAAGCACTTCAGAGAACAGAGACAAGGCTCTTTTGGCTTTCTGAGACCTGAGAAAGGTTTGCCAGAACTGCCTGAGCCTAAGGCCTTGAAGTAGATGGTTGGCTACATTTCCCTCTTGCATGAGGAGTTGGTGTTATGATTCAGATCTGGAATGTAGCCCTCAAAGCCTCATGTGTTTGGAAGTGGTGCTTGTGAAAGGTGACTGGATTATGGAGCTGCTACTGCTGACTTGCTATTAGGAGGTAGGGCCGGGTTAAGGCAGGACAGCGGGGGATGACCCAAAGGCTCCCTCTCCCTCCCTGGCTCTTTCCTTCTTTCTCTGCTTCCTGGCACCAGTGTGGACAGGTTTCCTCAGTAGCCCCTCCCATTGTGCCATTTCTAGTTTGAGCCAGCTGACCATAAACTAACACTTCTCAAACTGTGAGCCAAAATCAACCTCTCCTTCTTCAATTTGTGAGTGTCAAGGACTTTGCCTCAGTAACGGGGAAAGTGACTGACAGTGTTGCTCTTGTTTCTGTGATACCTGTTCAGATACATCTTATTGTGTTCACCAGTGCTCTGCACAGGAAACAGAGACTATGAAACTGAAAGCTGATGGATGCTTTAGAGGTTATCTGGCCAGGGATTTTAACCTGTGGTATGTGAAAACAATTTCAGTGGTCTGCAGGTTAAGGTAGAGACCTTTAAAAGAAAATGAAAGGGGAAAATATCCTGTGTTTGCCAAAGCAAACACAGAGTATGATCATGTTTTGCTTTTACATAGAGTTGTATCAGCTGTCTGGGGTCGCACGGATGTCTACAGATCCGAAGCACTGTGTGTCAGCCAGGTGCATCTGAGAGTCAAAGGGAGAGGTGGGATAGTTAAAGGAGTTCTTGGGGATGAGAAAGCTTGGAAACCACTGACTAAACCTGTCCTCTAGTACTGCAGAAGAGATTGAGAGGGAGAGATGCCTGTCTCTCCCTCTCAGAATATATCCTCAAATACTTATTTCGAGAAGGAGATAAAGAACTTGCCCAAGGTCACACAGCCATCCTACTACAAGGCTGCGAATGGAACGGAGATCTTCTTTAGGTCCAGTGTTAATTAATTTCTGTATACCAAACAGAGTGAATCTGTCCTTAAAACTGCCTAGCCATAGCTGCTTCCCAACTTCACTCCCAGAAAAGGACTTAGCACTAGCTCTGTACTCAGAGGTTCTATGTGTAGTGGTTATAGAATGTGCTAGTTTGAGGAGGGGAGGTGATGAACTGATGTCTCAGTCTGTTTTTGGCTGCTGTAACCAAATGCTACAAACTAGGTCATTTATAAATACTAAAAGTTTATTTATAGTTCTGGAGACTAAAGGTCTTAGTTATTTTTCTCACTGATGAGACAAAATACCTGACACCAAAACTTAAAGGAAGAAAGGTTTATTTAGCTCACAGTTTGTAGAGGTTTCAGTCCATAGTCAGCTGGCTCCAAGGTGGCATGGCAGAGGGGCATTGCAGAGGAGAAATAGTCCACAGCAAGCAGGCAGGTGAGAGCACATTAGCCCTCTGTCTGCCCTATACTGTGTGCAGGATACCCACTCTAGTGTGGGTATAGCACTCATACCCTTAGTCCTAGCCAGAACTATATCAAACCAATCAGTGGACTGATTTAGTACTCATATACCCTTGATCCCAGCAGCATATATCCTAGATGCAGCCACCTCGGAAAAGCGCGTCCTAAGACTGCATGAGGCTTTGCGGGGATATCTAGACACAAACCATAACACTAAGGAATCTAGTAGCATGGTGCTAGCATCTAGTGAGGTCATTTTCCTGCCCTATAACATAGCTGAGGACCTCACGTAGCAATATGGAGCAAGCATGCTTGGTTCGTCTCTCTTCCTTTTCTTCTGAAGCCGCTAGTGCAGCCAGCTGTGGTGGCACCTGCCTGTAACCCCAGCACTCTGGGAGCTGATGCAGGAGGACTGCACATTCAAACCCAGTCTAGGGAATAATTAGCAACTTAGCAAGAACCTGTCTTAAAATTAAAAACTAATAAATAGGCTAGAATGTAGCTTATAACAAATGCCCTGGGTTTAAGTCTTAGTAACACACACACACACACACACACACACACACACACACACACACACAGAGCCATTAATACCATTTTAGGCCACCCTCGTGATCTAGAGGATTAGGTTTCCAACACATGAATTCTGGGAATTCCAGGGCATACTCAAACCATAGCATTCTGCCTGTGGCCACCAAGGTTCACCTCCTTCTCACGTGCAAAATACAACCCTTCCATTCCAATAGCCCCAAAGTTTTGACTGGTTCCAGCACCATCTCAGAAGTACAAAGTTCACTGTCTCTTCTGAGTCAGATTTGGGTGAAACTCAAAACATGCCTGAATCAAATTTGCTCCAGCCATGAGCCTGTGAAATCAGACAAATCACCTTCTTCTAAGGTACAATAGATTGCAGCAGGCAAAGGACAGCTCTTCCACTGCAAAGGGGAGAGACAGGCAAAAAGTAGGACTTACTGGCAGCTTGTACCCTGTATTTCCTCTCCACTAATTACTTCCCAATGGCTCCACCTACAAGTACCATTAACATCCTACTTTCAGCTATAACTCTCTCACAATGAATTCTGGGGGCCGTACCCAAATCATAACATCATAGAGACCCTAAATAATTGTCTACTTAGACTCAAATTTCCAGGGTTATTTTGCACTAGCCTGCTCCCCCTTGCCCTCTCTTAAGACCCTGAGACTTCTAGTGACTGCCTCCCTTTTGCTTTGTTCCAGAGCAATACTGGAGAAGAAGCTGGCTGCCTCTGTGAACATCCTACCCAAGGCATCTTCACTGTGAGTTTTGCCACCGCTGGCCAAGGGAGGGCAGTTGGGAGTTTCACGGTTAGGTCTTGGCTGGTGGGAAGAGTGCTGAAGTAGTGGGGGAATTGTCAGAGAATAATTCAGAGGCATTTTCATTAGTAGTTCACAGCTGATTTATATTTACAGGTGATCAATCAGTTTATTTCACCCAAGAAAAGCAAAAACATGCTGTTTGTAGAGAAAGGAAGAAAAAAGTGAAGTCATTCCTTTAACTGCTCACATTTGGGAGCAGTGGCTCCCAAATTTGGCTGTAATTTCCATTCCTGAACTTCAGCTTCGATTTACTCAGTCGACTTGAGGATGGGGCCCAGTTCTCTGAATCTTTGTTTTTGCAGCGCTGTGCATCAAACCCAAGGCCTTGAGTATGCGAGCCAAGTGCTCTACCGCTGAGCTACATTCCCAACCCAGGTCTCTGAATCTTTTAAAGTAGTACAGGATCTAGGAATGTAGCTCAGTGGAAGGTACCAGTGTTTGGTAACTGAAGTAGAATATCAGCCTAGCACTGTCTTCATGTGTACATCGTTGTTCATAATTGATTCTTTTAATATAGCTCTGTGACACTGCAGGACCCATAGCTTAGGTCCCTGGTGGTGAACTTTTTAGCGCTTTCAAAGATACACAGCCTGCTGTGGCCATATGCCATAGGTTTGCCACCACTGGCCTAGGTAATTTTAGGTTTATCCTGGGTCAGTGTAGATCTTCTCAGGCTAAATCTCTCCTTTTCCCATGATGTGATTCTTACACACTTATTCTAAGATGTAGTGACTTTATTTTTAACTTCTGAAACTTTCCATATAAGACTCACTTCTTCCTGGAAACCATCTGAGTTTTTAAATTTATCCATTCATGGGTACTTGGCTTTGAGAGTCAGTAACGGCATCAAAGTAGTGCCAGTCCAGAGGGCAGGCAGGGGCTCAGAAGCCATGGGTAGGATGGGCATGGAGAGAGATACCCAGCTTGGAAGAGTGAAGAAAGACCAGAGGGTTTCTGCAGGGCTGTCCTGGGGTGGCCTTTTAATGTAGCTAGCTGGGGAAACAGCTAGGTAGCAGATGTTGGCACTCTACAAGAAGATAACATCTCTGGCTATAGCTCAGGAGTAGAGCACATGCCTAGCATGCACAAGGCCCTGGTTTCAACCCTCAGCACTGAAGAGAAGGAAGAAGGAGTAGGGAAAGGGGAGAAAGAAGAAAGGGAGGCAGAGAGAAGAAGAGGGAGAGAGGGGGAGAGGGAGAGCGAAAGAGAGAGGAAAAAATCCTGTGTAAAAACCTTTATGTTAGTCGGACTTCTTCAAGAAATAGAGAACCTTTCTCCTCCAGAAATATTCTGGCAATGTTAGATGTGTAAGAACGGTCTGGCTGGATGACCTTTGCGGTGTTGAACAACTCTAGACTTCAGTACGTGGGCTTGGGTAGATTTTAAAGTTTCCTCCTCAGTAAGTCACCTACTTGGACCAAGTTTGACACTTCACTGGGCTCCTCTTGTGAGCATTATAATGTGGTTTTGTTCTGTTCTTCAGGTATTTTTGGAAGGGAGAAATAGAAGAAGCCAGTGAGATCTTGTTGGTGAGTGAGGACGGGGCAGAGGAAGTCTTAATAGGAGAATGACTGGGACAAAGGCTTTTTCCAGGTTCTAATGAAAAGTCAGTGATCAAATGATGGAAGTTTTTGCCCACCTGCGATGTCCAAGGCTGCTCTGGGAGCCAGTGAACTGCCCTGGCGTCCCGGGAGGAGTACTCGTCTGAATGCCCAGATGAGTGAGCAGGGCTAGAGCCGAGGCTCCAGTTCTACAGCAGTGATGCTTTTCTTTCTTTTTTCACAGTTAATAAAGACAAAGACTTCCAAGGTCCCCTTGCTCTCCAGCTATATCAGGTAAGGCTGGCATCTTTTGTCACTCATCGACCACAAGACCAGCCAGGGATGTCCTGGGGACCAAGTTAATGAGCTTGAGAAGCAGGAGAGCTGGACTTGAGCCACCAACTCTAAAAAAACTCCTTTTTCCTCTCTTTGTGTGTGTGTGTGTGTGTGTGTGTGTGTGTGTGGTATTGGGGACTGAACTTAGATCTCATATGTGGTAGGCAAGTGCACTACCACTGAACTATACCTCCAGCCCCAAACATGCATTTTTATAGAAAGTAGTATTTTCCAAAAACAAAAAAGAAATTACTGAGAAAAATGATACCATTTTATTATTTTTTTTCAAAATCTGGCTTAATAAGACATCTGGATCTCTTTAGAACCATTTTGGGACAATTTTATGCTTCTAATAAGTTCAAATTTTCTAAAATTATAATTTTTCACTTCAAAACATTAATGGCAGTAAATGATGTAAATAGTCTTCATTTGAATTACGGGCTTTGTTCCCAATTGAGAAAATGGCTACCTAATACTCAAACTAGAGTTACCGTAATTTGTAAAACTGACAAATTATGGTAACTTGGGCTTCAGAGCAAAAACGTTATTCCAACAAAAAGTTGTCCAGTTTAGCCTGTAACTCTGGCACACAAGTGTGTGGCAGATTTTTTTGTTTGTTTGTTTTGAGACAGGGTCTTGCTACATAGTCCAGGCTGGCCTTGAACTCACTATGTAGCCTAGGCTGGCTTGAACTCTCAGTGATCCTCCTGCCTCAGCCTTCTAAGTGTTAGGACTACAGGCATGTTCCACCTCACCTGGCTAACTTTTGAACCTAGATACACAGCAGAAGTGCTTTATGTGTACCTCCCATCTTTCCTCTCAGAACATTACAAAGATACATAGTGAAGGGCTGAACTTTAATAAAAATAGTAATCTTTACCACCTCAAAGATGTTAAGTGAAACTATTTAAAAGTACATGTGTGTGGTGGTAAAGAATACAGTGACAGTGAGTACACTTTGGTGGCCCTATCTTGACTCATACTAAGGTACCAGTAATTTTACCCATCATTTCTAACATAGTAAGATGACAAAATAATGTCACAGTTTCGCTGAAGCCCACATCTCATGTCGCCTTCGTCTGGAGAGTGAAGAGAACTTGCCTTGTGTGACAAGGCCCAGGGAATAGTGAAGAGACAAGAGTGAAGTAGTGAAGAGAGATTACTGTGGACCAAGGGTCAGTGAAGACCCTTTGGAAAAAGTTAGTGGTTGAGTTGGCCTTGAGGGAGAGAGAGGCTTTGGACCAGCCAACAGGAGCAAGGAGACTGCTCTGGGTAGGGAGGAACACAGCGGTGGCCCTGGAGGAGAAGGCAGGGATGCGGGTGAGACGGTGATGAAAACAGTAGCTAACCTCTAATGAGCGTGAGTGCCAGTCAGGTACCAGGCAAGTTCTCTGTCTCCCTTATGCTGTTTAGTTTTCATCCCCCCAGTCATGTAGGTACTGTTTGTGTCTCTTCTTCTGTAGTGACCTTTCGAGAAAGCAAGTGACTTGTCCGTGGCCACACAGCTGGTAAGGGCAGACTTAGAATCTGAACCTGAATCTGTGAGACCTTGAAACTGTAACTCAGCTCACACCTGCTGACACATGGGAAACTTGGCACTCAGGAGTAGTGGGTCACGGTGCTGGCCAGGTGGGCTTAGCAGATGAGAGGGCCGCCTGTGGTGCTGGCCAGTTGGGTTTTATCACCCGGTCACTTTCTTTCCAAAGGTTGGTGCATCCCTTTGAAATCCCAGAGGTCTTCAGTCTCGCCATGGATCAAGGAGATGTGCAGTATTTAAAGTGGCTTGAGGAGAGCATGGAGGAGGGCCGAGCGAGGGAACCCTCTTGTGCATCTTGCTGACTGCCTCTGCCCTTCAGCGGCTGTACTCTGGGAAGAGTAGTTTTCTGCCTCCCAGAACCTGTGGATCCTGTGTCTGTGTGAGCGCAGAGGAGCAACTAACCTGCGTTGGCTGAGGGTGCAAGGCTCCCGAGGCTAGAAGAGAAGGTCGGGCCAGAAAGAACCCAATGGAACTTGTCTTGGAGTGCTGCATGTTTCAAGGTGGCCAGAGGCCGGAGGATGAGGGTGGTTGTACAAACTGAAGGAGGTGGCGGTGAGGGTGAAGTCTGTCATCGTTAGTCACTGAGGCTATCTCACATGCCTAGGGGATAACTGCTCCCCTGCTTCTGATGGGGAGGAATGGATCCGATGACCTTGTTCACTTGGAAGTGTATGGGATGCCTCCTTCTCGAGGAACTAGCAAGCGCTGTGTTCAAAAGGATGAATTGTAATGGTGGAATTTCAGAGATCAGCAGGATTATTTCTCCTAAAGAGGCTTTTGTTGCTCCAGAGTCCTGAGGAGGTGGCACTAGGAACTAGGGCTTCAACACGGCCTCATGGGCTGGCAGTAAGTCTTGACTCTTTCTTAGTCTGAGTGTGACAGATACGAGAAGGTTCTGGTGCCTTGCTCAGTGGAGATGTAGGTTCTGAGCTCAGAAATGAAGCCCTGGGAACCTGCTAGGCCAGTGTTTTTCACATTTGCCATACAGAGCCCCAGAGCTTGACAGAAACTCCCTGGGCCTACCTGGGTGAGGGTAACGGCTGGAGGCCTCCACCTACATCCCTATCAATGCACTCTTTGCTTGTTAGCCGCTGAGCACCCTTTAAGATTTGGGTTTTGGTTTGTTTGGGGTTTTTTTAGGAAAGTTTTCTTCATCCAAGCTTAGTAAACCACTGCTCTAGGCTGGTCTCCATTTTACTGATTATTAAAGGAAACTGAATTGTACAGATGCCCAGAAAGGGAGTGGCATGTTGTTATACCTGGCACTTCTGTGTGAGCTCATGCTGTGCCAGCTCCATGGGGAAGGACATAGGGGAGGTGAGGAATGTCGAGTCCTAGCAGCGAGAAAAGAAATGTGACCCAGGCCCTGTCCACGAACAAAGCAACTCTCTGCTTCCCTCACCTTAGTACTCCTAGATATGAAATGGGGGAGATGTCCCAGGACCCATCTATGAAAACCTTGTAGGAACTGCAAGCTGAGGCCCTTCCGAGGTCCAGAGGGTATCAGTGGGGACTTGGGGAGCTGCCTAGGGAGAGGTCTAGAGAATGCTAATGGTGATGTTCTTTGCTTTTTGTAACAGATCAGTTTCTGATACATATGCAAATCTTGTACAAAGTAAACACTACTTAAAATGCATTATAGTTCCCTGTTGATTGCCTTCATTACTTTTAGGATAAAGTCCAATTTCTAAGTCTAGTTTTCAAGGCCCTTCAGAACCTTACCTCAGTTTACCTCTTCAGTCATCAACATCTCCCTCAGACAGATGGTTTCCCTGCATTGTGTGATGTTATTCCTGTGTTCATGTGGTCCCCTCTGCCTGGAGTTCCCTTCTACCTGGATGCTTGTGACATGTGGCTGTTCCCTTGCATGGCTTGGCTCCCCAGCTGGAAGGACTGTCTTCCGCCCTGGTGTTCCTTTCATCCTTGTGCATTACTTTGTTGGCCTTGTATTGCTGGGCGGTGACCTGCTGAAGGTCAGGGGTATGTGTGAATGTTTGATCTGTTGTACAGAATTTGGCAAGTACCTCCCCAACTGATGTTTCAAGGATTTAAATGGCAAAAGCTTTCTCTACGGTGCAATTTCTTTTAAGTTGTGGAATTAGCGAAATCTAACTTTTTTCCTTGAACTTTATTAAAGGGCGACTAATTCCAAGGGAGATTTTCCTGTCTGTGGTCTTTCTTGGTTCAGTTTCTGTGCTATGTTGTTATCAAAAAACTTTTTTGGTGGTTGGCAGTTGCCTAAGCGTCTGAATTGACTTTTACCGAAATGAGAGGGGAGAGGGACATTTACTAAACACCAGCTCTGTCAGCAGGGTACTGTCCTATCTTCTAAGATCTTAAAAGTTATCCTTGTTCATTATCCTCTCAGCACAGCTAGGATGTGAAACTGACTCTATGATTCTAGACCTACTGGTCTTATTCCCTTTGATTCAAAGAAACGAGATGAAGTCCCTATAGACCTAGAGAACCTGCTGTAGTCAGCTCTAAGAGTATTAGCTTTTAGAACATCTTTTTTTAATATGTCAGTTGGCCCAGTGTCTACACATGTATTGCATCATTCATGCCTCACCAGAGATCTGCAAGTTGATGATCTATTTCACAGATGACAGACTAGATTTAGAGGAGCTCAGTGACCTTTAAGATCTGTGAAAGTCCAGTCGACATGGTATGGTCACCATCCCACACTGCCTTCCCACAGTGACACTATAGAAGTCAGAGCTAGATCCTTTACCATTACCTCTGTGTGAAAATCCCTTTCCAGCATTTCTTAGGAAATGTATGTTTTTAATTCAGAATCTCTAGAAAAATCAACTGAGGAAATGAAGAAAAGTATCATAATTATCCTGTGAGTACTAAAGCTTATTAGTATCAAAACATTACTGGTTTGAAAAATCCACCTTCATCAAACTAAAAAAAAGAACACAAAACACTAACATGCTGAGTTGGAGAGAGAACTGAGGCAGGGACATGTAAGAGAGAAAAATGATCACCATCTATTTAGTCCTGCTTTTGGTTGTTGCCATGTCAGGGGTGTACGCATCTAGCCCTGTCTGCTGCAATCAATGTAGGTAATTTTATATGCATAATATACTTTATACAGATCCTATGAGTGGCATTCCAAGAAATAAACCTTGGAAGTAGTATAAATCCTTAAGTTGGCAATTTGGACATCTGGTTGATTTTATGAGCTGTTACCCTTTCTAGGATATTCAAATATTACAGTACTATTTTAATACATCCAGTAGATGTTCCCTGGCATCTTTTAGTCTTTTAAATCTCCTCTGCAGACCTTCATAAATACTACTAATCTTAATATGCCTTTTTGTTAAACAAAATATTTTCAGATATCTATAATGATGAGGAAAAGTCTAAGGAGTAAAGGATCTTAAGAGTAACTTACTGCAATTTCGGGAATTTCTGAGAATTCTGATTTCTCATTCCACAACTCCAAAGGTAAATGTTTGCTGTGAATTTGGAAGCACTAGTCCAGACCACAGAGAAGGCATTCTTCAGTCCTGTGGCCCACACTTTCCAAGGGGCTAGAGAACTGTTCACTGTAGACCAGAACTTGGACCAGAACTGAAGCCTTTCAACACCTAGCACGGATCATTTCTTTCATTCCATTGATTTCAGCCCAAAGCATAATCCCCCATCCCAGCGGCCACTGTGGTTTTATTCCAAGGAAGACCACAAGGCTGAAGCAGCAGGAGTGGTTGTTAATGTAAATGCTTAAAGGCAGCTGTTATTAACACAACTAAAGCCTCCACTTGGGATTAACAAGCTATACTTCACCCCTCCAACTACAGAAATCAACTGAACTCATGTCCTTCATCTCTCTATACAGCTGACCTGTTCGCTACTCCAATTTGTTTCTCTCCAAAGTGTCCTAAATTCAGAGGCTTAAAGCAATAATCAGTAACACATATGAAGTTACCCTCCCAACATGTGCAGTGCCAGATGCTACTGGGATTATCACAGTGTTATAGGTTATGACCAGCACAGCCAGGTTGTACCGTAGGACTAGTTCACATTTCTAGAATTGTGTGCCTGGGTGTAATGAGCAAAGTTTATAGTGCCTGTATTTACTCGTTAACAGGGTCTATTTTCCATCTTTTCTCTATGTGACTCAGCTAACCTCCCTCCCCCAACCACCACCACCATAGATCAGGGAATCAGAGTAAAAAGTTTCCAGATTTTCTCTGGCAATAAGAACAGGAATATTGTTGAATGTTGCAGGCAGTGGCAGGAGTGGCAGCGTGGCCAGAGGACAGGGCCCCACCCATCCTCCTGAGCCTAACCTCCAGGAAGCCACAGGAGCCAGAGCCAGTTCCTTCTATCCAACAGCTGCTATGAGGAAAACAGGATTTTTCAAAGAGAATTTTTACATTGTAAACCGGACACATTAATTATAACTTTAATATAACAAATGTTATTAAAAGCAGCAATTCAAAACCATGATCTTTTAGAAGGTGCACAGGGTTATTAAGGTCAGTTGGCAGTAATGCAGCTATTATCTGGTATGACTGAAATGCTAGGGTGGGGGGTCAGGTGACCTTGTTAGGCCTTGTGCTGTCTTCCCAAGTGGGCACCCCTTCCGACCTCTTCCCTTTGGGCCCAGAGTCTCTCTGGAGCCCAAAGTAGGGAAGGTGCTGAAACAGGCCCCACGCATGCTGGTTTCTCTGGAGTCTGAAAGCAGGCCTGTGAGCTTGCTGTGCTCTGAGGCCAGCAGGAAGCCACAGATTGGATCCCGGGTCCCACACCCCTGCTGGGCTGGGTGCTGGCTTCCCAGCTCCCCTTCCACCTGGCCCCATTTGCGGGGGCTCAGTGGCAGCAGCTGTGGGGCTGAGATCTGGGCCCAGTGCCTACTTGTCCCTGCCTGGCTGTGCCAAGCAGGCGGAGAGAAGTAAACGTGCTGTGCCCAGGTGAGGTCCCTTTGAAAGGCACTAGAGGAGCTGAGGTTTAAGGCAGAGCTGTCTAACCTATGTCAGAGATCTCCTGAATGCTCACAGGCGGGCAGGGGGCAGGGCTAGTAATGGAAAAATAAGCTTCTCAGGCCTGCTGTCCTGCTGCTGCACTCGCTCTTCTACTCCTTCGCTGTCCAGCTGGTGGTCTGCAAATCCCAGCCAAGCTGGAGGCCACAGCAGCAGCTGGCAAGGCTGGTGCCAGTCTGGTGCCCCTGTGCCCCACTCCCAGTCAAGGCACTTCTTTCCACTTTCCAATCAGATAAGTCAGTTTCTAATATCTCTGGAAGCAGCAAAAATGTGGCGTCCACCCCCCCCCACTTTTGGTTTCCCTCGAGATGAGGCCTGATGTTGATGCCTTCTGCAGCAGAGATACAGCTTTGCACTCCCCAGGTCCTGCGTCCCAGTGTCTGTGCCACAGGGGTTTTCCCAGAGGCACGCATGCGCACACACACACAACACACACACACACAACACACTTTTTCCAGGAGCAAGAGGAAGTGGCAGGAAAGGGTGGAAGAGAAGCTCCACTTTCAGCCATTCTCCCTCAGGTTCCCATTCTCACAATGGGGTTCCCGGGAGGACTGCTGCCCAGGGGTCAGGTGTGAGGGTTCCAGTGGAGGGACAGATGTGCACGTGGAGGTTGTGTAAACACACAGACACACCCAAAAGGGGTGAGAGGTGCGGGAACGGAGACTCGGGGACAAAAAGATTGGGCCTGAGGAGGAAGAGGGTCACAGAACCAAGGGGACACAAATCCAGAGGAACTAATAAAGAGTTTGAGGGGTGTGGAGTGTTACAGGGATGCTGGAAAAGAGCCAGCGGGACCTCAGACCCAGGCACGAGGGTGATGAGCCTTGAGAAGCCAGAGAACAACCGGCAAAGCAGCAGTGCAGGCTTCGGCCTCGGCCCGGTGAGCAGGTATGTGGGGCCTCTGGCCAGGCACTTGCAGCTCTGTCCTGCTTCCCTCCCCAGCCCCAGCCCCAGCCTGGGGAAAGTGGGAGCCTATGGCTTCTGCTGTCCCTCCTTTGGTTTTCAGGGCTCCTGGCATCCCCCACCAACGGGCAGTCAGTAAGGGGTGGTCCCTTCCCATTCCACCAGGTACTGAACCTTGCCCTCTGGCGTGACCCTCCGCGCCAACACCTGGTACTTCTCCCCACAGGCCAACCTCCCAGCTGCACCAAAGTAGTTGGTGATCGAGGACTTGAGGTGGGACAGAGACGAGTCATCTTCACTGATGCTCTCAAACGTGTGGCTGTCGATGCCTTCATCTGGCCGCTCGGGTCCTGAAGCCCCCTCGGCACTGCTGTCCGAGGGGCAGCGTCCGCCCAGCTCGGCCGCCCGCCGCTTGGCCCGCAGGGGCATGTACGCTTTGGCTGCCAGCTTCCTCTTGCGGCTGCCCACTGTCCGTCTACCTCAGGCAGGGGAAGAGGAAGATGATGGGAATGAGATGGAACAACAAACAAGTTTCTTGCCCTGAACAATCTTCTAGGTTCCAGGAACAGTGCCAGGCCCTGGACATGGGTTTATTGAACTATACGCTTATGATAGTCCTATAAGGGCGGAAACTGAGGCTTCACAGGAGAAACGAACAGCTGGGGAGTAGCAGAGCCAGGATACCACCTAGGTAGCCTGACTCTAAAGCATGTGCTCTTTGTATGTGAGATTGAGGACTGCACAAGTATAGGTGTGTTCCTGCCGTTTTCTGTGCCTCTTTACACAGAACCGTAGAGAGGCCCTGCTTAGGCTGCCCCGCCCCTCACCTAGACTCCTTTAGAGCTGCTTGGGACAAGCAGGGATAGGGACAGGGCTTATGAAGTAAACACTCTCTCATACCACACAGGCAGAGGTATTAAAGACATGGACACACAAGGCAAAGTACACATTCTCAGATGCTTAGAAACGGAAGCCAAGCCCTGAAGCATTAGTGAGAACCAAAGAAACAGGAAGACATTAAAATACAGGGCTGGGGGTGTAGCTGAGTAGTACAGTGTTTGCCTAGCATGCATGAAACCCTGGGTACAACCTCTAGCAGTGGAAACAAAATAAAATTTTAGAGAAAATAGAGAAAGATACTGAGACAGATGTTTGGAGCTAAAGAGATACTTCCAGACACACTCCTACTTGGCGTTATACTTTTCCTTCTACTTTTGCAATGACCTTATGTATCCTAAGGCCCCTGAGTGTAGAAGAAATCCTTGTGCTTTGCAATGCCACCCTCCTGATGGTACTACAATTAGCTGTTGCCAAAGAGGCTGTATCTTCACTTTGGCCCCAGGGATTTGTCCCTTTCCCCAGGCTGACCTCTACAAGCTGCCATCATTCCCTTCAAATAAATGGCACTTTCCCTTAGAGAGCCTGGAGCAGACACCAGATTCAGACAGCCAAGAAGCAGGAGCAGGGGACCTGTAGTCTGAGAGGCACGGTCATGCAAAACATGGCATGCAGAGGCCAAGAACTGCAGAAGGAAGCAGTCTCTGTGAAACAACCCCAGACCTGAAATCAGCCGGAGGAGTCACAGGACATTCTGTAGCTCATAAGGAGCATTTGAAAGAGATGGAGGCTGAATGCCTGTTCTAACCCCCACCTGTACTCCAGTCACTCAGAATCAGCAGCCCAGGGCCAGATGATCATAATGCCAAAAGGTTAAGTCCCCCAGCTGAGACTCAGATGCACAAAATGAGCCCCACAGGTTGCAGCAGTGGGGGCATGGGCTGGTGGTGGCAGTGCTAGAAAAGCCTGAAGGGTAGACCCCAGGACACTCACCTGGAGTCATAGGAGAGGCTGGTGGAGGCGGAGCCGGAGGTACTGGCGGCATCGGTGGAGTCCACATCTGAGAAGAAGGTTTGGCCCGAGCTGGCACTAACGGGGGAGAGAGTGAGCCTAACATTAGCCAGACCCAGCAAGGTCCGGCCAACTTGGCTCTTGGGGTCCCTTGGGATTTCAGACCTCTTTCTGTCTCTCTGATATGCATCCTTCATCCCAGCAGAGGCCACCTTTGCACTGCCGAGCTTCCCACCAGCACACTTGGCCTGTCCATGTTCTACTCATCCAGCGTTCAAAGTCTAGGAGCTAAGAAAGCCTTCCCAGCCCACTGTCCCCAGGTGGTACGGACGTTCTAGTGACTATTTAATGAGCCACAAGACACTTGTGTTACCATTACAGATGAAGAGCTTTCATTTGTATCTTACTTTGGGAAAACATGAGGAGCTTCAGAGAGGCTGAGGAATTTAACTAAAGCCACATATACTAGTAAGCAGGGTCTGGAGCTCAGATCTCTCTGAATCTCAGTCTCTCACTCCTTCCTCCATAGCCTCCAGAAAGCACTGAATGCCCTTCGGCAACATTAGAAGTAAGATGATAAAAGGTACAGTTCCTCCTCTCGGGTGCTGTGGGCAAACACAGTAAGGTATCCAGCACGGCCTGGGAGGGCAGGAAGGCTTCCTGGAGGAAGCAGGCTCCTAAGTTTCCAGATGCCGGGCAGCAGGGCAGAGTGCATTTCAGAGCCACAGCGACAGGAGCAGAGATGAGGGCCATCAAACTGCATCATGAGAGTGGGGCAAGCACAGCGATTTTGGTCTCCTGTGTGAGGTGGGGAGTGCCACAGGAGGTAGGGAGACCGTCACCCGGCTGCCTTGACCGAGGCTCTGGGGAACAGGAAAGTACTAGTGTTAAAAGAGCCTCTTGTAGCCCCATGCAATGTGGACCATTTAACTGGGGGTTCCAGAAGGACTCCAAAGGAGGCCCCACTCCTTCAGAACGTGATTTCTGCCTCGTCCCCTTCCAAAGCCTTGCGCACTGCTGGGGTGTGGGGGTAGCCTCCCCGCCAGTTCCTTCCCAGCCTCCAGAGCAAGCCTTTCCTGCTGGGGCCCTCACGGATACCTTTTTAAACTCTGAATTTCATCCAGCGTGAAGTCGAATATGCTGGCCAGGTGGTGGTTGGTGCTCCAGGCTGAGGTGAAGTCACTCTGTGGACACAGGAAGGAGAGAAGAAGGGTGTGTCAGCGAGTGTCAAATCTGCCTCCCCCATATACCCTCTCCCCAGCTGAGGGCCACACAGGCTGTCCACTGTCCTGCCAGGCCTACTAGGGTTAAGACCTGCCAATTCCTCTATTCCATGTCCTGGCCAAAGAGCCAAGTCACCTGGTTCTAGTCCTGGTCTGGTCTCCAGCCCTCAGGATGACCTTTGATCTCTCTGGGCCTCAGCTACCCCAGCTGCAAAATGGGGACAATAACCCCTTCCCTGCTTCACTCTTAGAGGTGTCAAGAAGCACAATGAAGTTAAATGATTGGAAAAGTGCCTTGTAAACTGTAAAGTGCTGAGGAGATGAGGCATGGTTAATACTGCTCACAGGGAGGGCTTAATTAAGGATGCAGATGTGGGTTCTAGTTCTAGGCTGGGTTTGGCCACTGCCTTGATGTGTGACTGCAGGAGAGTCAGTGCCCCACCCTGCCCTCAGTTTCCCCACCTGCTCAGTGGGGGCAAGGATATTACATGCCCCTGTGCCTGGGTTCTCAAGGACATCTTGGGAAGATAAGGGAGTGGTCTGGGGGGGTGCTCCGCCTTTGTGTCACTGTGATAGGGAGTGGGGCAGTCCCCGGGGCCTCGGGACTTTGCTTTCTGCAAGAGCATCTCTAATGTGTGCTGGCCCTGCGTGTGAAAGTGGAGAGTAAGAAAACAAGGAACTAACACTGGGAATAGCATCTTCCAGCAAAAACTTTGATCTTTTTCTTCTATAAACTCGCCTTTTCTGCTGCTGGAATTCGTGAGGCAACAAACTGTGGAGACAGAAAAGGGAGAGGATGGCCCAGTCAGAGCCTGGGGGCCAGAGGATGGCCCAGAGGGAGGAGCCTCACCAGTGGTGGGAGTGGGGCCGGGCTCAGAAGGATGGCAGATGGCAGATGGCCGCACCTCCCCAAGCAGCCTGGGGAGGAGGGTGCAGCCTCTGGGGAGGGAGGTACAGAGGGCCTGTTGTTCAGCAGAAAAAGAAAAGGTCATGTGTGTCCATATGCCCTGTCCCGACACCCAGGAAGCTGGGGCAGGCTCAGCCAGGAGGGCAAGGGTGCCTTAACACACTCAGACGCCCCCTTCTCTTTGCCCAGCCCTAATGGAGCAGGCCAGGTCCCTGATCTGGCTTCCCCTGAATGAGGCGTAAGGGGTGATGACGGAAGGAGCCTGGGAGCCACTAACTCGCCCTCTCAGGGTGCCTGCAGCTTGGGACTAGCTGGCTGTAGGGACGCCTGGCTTACATGGATGCCACCAGACTGTGCGGGCCCACTGCATGGCCCACCTGCTGGGCATGGGAACTGGGAGCAGAGAACCCGAGTCTGGCTGCAGCCCTAGCCCTGGGTCCCCAAGCACTGACCCAGGCTTGCTCTTTCCTCTCTTACGCAGCTCGGAGGAGGCGGCACCATTCTCACTTGGTACCAGGCCCTTATCGGGCAGCAGCTTCCCCGGCGGGTTGGGTGGGACGCGGATGCGCAGGCGGAAAATGCATTTTTTCTTCTTGATCTCCTTGCCGCAGAGAAACCTGAGGGGGGACAGGGAGGGAAGGCTCTGGAGTCAGTCAGTCTGTCCTTGTGGGGAGCTAGTGTTAGACAAGCCTCTTGGGCTCCCTTGACCCCTGAGCTAATCCAGAGTGGCCTCAGGGGATGCTGAGTCCTACAAGCCCATCAAGTGAGGGGTCCCAGCCAAGAATGTGGCTGATGACAATTAAGTGCCTCCTCCAACAGGTGTGTGGCTCCTGCTGCTCCTCTCCTCCCTTTTCTTCTCTATCTCAAGCAGCTCCAAGGCTGCCTCCCACAGCAAAGCGTCCTTCAGTGCACAGTGGAACTCCTGGGGTCCCCGACACATTCCATGTCATTCTCCCTCAAAACTGGAGAGGTACCACCAGGCACTTCCTCCTCCTTTCTACACTGGCCCTGAGGCTACACAGATGGCTCAGACCCAGGCCTGCTCTGAGGGGTCTGTCCACTGGGAGGCCAGAGGCTGCTTAGTGAAGAGTGGGCTACGCTGGGCCCAAAAGCAGGAGAAGTGGGTCGTTCTGCTAGAGGCGTGTGGAAAGCTTTCACAGGAGCATGTCTAACTCGCCTCTGGGGCTCAGACCTACCCAGGGCCCAACCGAGTAGCAGCTCAGTAAGTTCTTGTTGATGACAGAGATGCATAAATGGGATAGAAGGACATCACAGGCAGAGGGAAGAGCACCAGCAGAGACAGTAGGTGGAGGAGCCACGGGCATAGTGGCTGGCATCCAGAATCAAAGTGTTATGACTAGATGTCCCCGCAAAGTCTCATGCAGTCATAGACGTAGGGACTTTTTCAGAGGTGGCTGAATCCAGAGTGGTTGATTCACGGTGCAGTGCTAGGATTAAGGGTGAGTGATTACTGGATCAGCCCACTGATTGATTTGGCACTGCCCTAATCCCAGTAGCTTGGATACCATACAAGGGACAGAAAGAGGCTTGTCTTGACCCTTTCCCGTTGCTTTTGCTGTCTTCGCCTGCAATGAATTGCTTCTCCTCTGCGATCCTCCTCTGCTAAGCCACCCTGCCTTGGAGCCAGCCGATTACAGACAGAAACCTCTACAAACTGTGAGCTAAATAAACCTTCCCCCCTTTAACTTTGAGTGTCAGGTATTTTGTCTCAACAATGAGAGAAAAGTAACCAAGTCACAAAGCAAAGGGACAATGACAAAAGACCTGGAGGCAGGGCCTGATCATAAAAGACCTTGAATATCTGGATTGGAGCAAGGCATTTCCTGTGGTGGTGGGCAGGGAGGGATGTAGCAGGCTCTGGGTTCTCAGAACTCAAGGGGAAGTCATGGACTAGGGGATGGGCTTAGGAGGTTGCGGCCCACCTGAGAGATGATGATTTAACCACTCAGTGCTTGGCCCAGGACCCTAGCTGGCCTGAGCAGGAGGGACTCTCAGAGAGCAGGACCCCTCCCTTATGGAGCTGAGCCCAGTACCCAGATGAATTAGGATGCGAGGGCGCTTGGCAAAGGAAGAGCCCTGATTCCCTTTGCCCCTTGGATCCTAAAGCATGGGAAGGAATGATTCAAAGAGAAGGGGAGGAAGACAGGCAGGAAGCAGAGCTCAGGCAAAGGCTATGAGTAGGAGAAGCCTTCAGATTGCAGTCCCTCCTGTTGGGGGCTGAGGCATTCCCTGCATCCCTGCACGCACCGGCTTTTGTAGCTGTTGAGAGCGTTGAGGAGATGTGGTCCTCGATCTGTCACAGGGGTGCTGGTGAGCTAGGGGAGAACAGGCCAGGAGAACAGTCAGACGCTGCCTGTGCAATCTGAAGAGCCCTGCTCTTCCCCTGCCCTTCCTGAAGTTCCTGAGTCCCCCAGGTGTCATGTCCCCATCTGTAAGTGGAGTGACAAACTCCTGGCCTAGATTTTTCAAGAGCTTCATACCCTTTACCCAGGAATGGTTCTCCATGGTCTATGCACCTGGAGAGGCTAAGGCAGGAGGACTGCAAGTTCAAGTCCTACCTGGGCAGCTTAGTGAGACCCTGTCTCAAAAAAAAAAAAACAAGGCCTGGCAGTGAAGCTCAACGGTAGAGTGCCCCTGGGTTTGATCTCCATGACAACAAAAACAAATGGAAAACGACAAAAAACTTTAGTAACAAAAACTTTACCAAACTGTTTACTGTGCTGGACAAATAGAGGGTTAAAAAAACCCCTATACTCAACGATAAAGAAACCGGTGAACTGTGACAGAAACTAATATAGCCATTAAAAATGTTTATGAGGATTCTTTAATATGGGAAAATAACTATGTAATGTGAGTTGAAAATGATTTAAAATCATTTTGCTGCATCTAAATAAACCATGTAAACAGAAAAAAATACAAATTTTTTCTAATATGAACAAGTATGAATTTTTTATAAATCAGGGAAAATTATTTCGAAAATGTCTTTTAAAGCTTATTATAGGTGTGTCTTATAATTGATCAAATACTATAAATGAAAATATTATGTAAAACTTCTGCAAAGCATAAAGATTACTTTTTTCTTTAACCCTTTTCTCATCAAAGAAAAGTTTGTGACCGTCAGTGGAGAAGATGCCTGGCTCTGCGTGTAGCAGAGATGATTCTGAAGGCATCAGGAGGGCTCAAAGGGTGCCTCCCCATGGTAGAAGTGATTAGGATGGCTCTGGCTCCAGCTCTAGATTGGCCCCAGCCTAGTAGCTGACTACCAGCAACTTTCTGTCCTGCTCTGACATTCTCAAAAGTCTCTGGTACCTCACTGCATGGATCTGAGGTGCCCAGGCGCCTGGAGATCACCATCCAGAACAGGATCAGCAGGGGGCGGGCCCACTCCACTTTCCATCCTAGCCAAGAAATCTGGAGAGGCCCAAATGCTTCAGCAGAAAGCCCTGCTCTGCCCAGATTTGACCCACTGTCCTAGATCCCAGAGGCTGAGTTGGTGAGGTGACAATTGCCCACTGTCAAAATTTGGGTCAGAGGCAGCAGCTCGAGGGAGACACCAAGCCCCAAGCCCTGCACTACATGAGCCTGCACAGACATCCCTGACTTCTGCCACTCACGCCTGCCGCCCTGCATACCTTGCCAAGCTGCAGGAGCTCCCAGTGGTGGTTCACAAAGGCCAGAATCTCCTCAAAGTCAAAGTACTTCTTCTTGCTCTGTACCCCCAGGTTGTAGAGGGCCAGGTGAACCACATCCACCCTAGGCAACAGGGCAAGGAAATGGGCCCCGGTGAGGAGGAGCGGCAAACTGGAGGGAGGAGGGAAGGGTGAACTGGGAAAGGAGGGGTGAGTTTCAACCAAGCCCCACCCTCTCACCATCGCAGGGGCAGCCTCTCGATGTACTCTGGGCCCTGGTTACACACGGAGCAAAAGAACAGGTAGAACCTGTGGGAGGTAGAAAGGGACCTGTGGTGGGGAGGGCTCTGACACCCTACCCTGGGCCACCCACCCCCTCACCTCCCACCTGTCTTCCCAGTCAGCATTCTCACTGCTGGGGCTGGTGGCCTCTGGAGGGTGGGGGTGGGTAAGGACAGGGCAGGACAGAGACCAAAGAATATGCCCCTACTCCCAACACCCTTCCCCCAGATACTGCCCTGGAGTGCACCTGAGTTTACAGAGTGAGGTGGAGCTGTAGTGACTACTTCCCTCTCTCTCTCTCTCTCTCTCTCACACACACACACACACACACACACAATCACAACAGGAGACACCAATAACATGGAATATCTGGTTTGACATATATAACATCTCCCAGTAACACAGTCCCATGGGCCAGAAATCATCCATTTCCCCGATGGCTCTTACAACTCTGGGCAGAGCTGGGGCAGGGACTGTGACAGTCAGCCCTTCTTTCCAGACCATCGAAGAGACTGGGGGCTTAGGGAAGGGGGGGATTTGCCTAAGGTACCCCACAAATCAATGGCAATGAGGGATGCAGTCTAGCACATCCTTTACTGCACAGCCAGGGCCTTACTCTGAGCTGCTTCCTGTACATAGTTATAGGCTAACATAACTGCCTTCCACCTTGTGCAGAGCCTGGCAGGCAATCTGCAGGAGTTTGCTGCTGCCACCCTCCTGTCCCATAATCACCTGACCCTCAAGGCCCAGCTGGGCCAAATTAGCACCTACCGATCTCCAAACATCATAGGCTCATTGAGGCACTGTGTGCAGGCCTCATGGAACCACTGTCTACACCGGTAACATTGCAGCATCCGCAGGTACCATCTGGAGAGGCAGAAGAACCAGGGTCAGCTAGGCATGAGGCTCAGCAACCATTCCCAGTACAGGCTTACCCTCCACCAGAAGAGAGAGAAGATAACTACCAGTTAGCAAGTGCTTTGAGGCTATTCCAGAGCATGTCCTGGGAGCCAGACACATGCCACCTCATTGGATCTTACCATCTGTGGAAGGTAGACCACTGTCCCGATAGTATAGACCAGTCAGAGGTTAAAATGGCTTGCTCAGGGTCACTCAGAAAGCAAGTGGAGCATGCCAGTTCATATCCCAGTCTCCCCAACTTCAAAGCCCATGTTCTTCCCGCCACAGCACACTGGTGCCCCCACACACTGCTTCCCAAACATCACTGCCAAGGACAGGTTCGCCTGAGAGTCTTAGTGGAAGAATGATGGCTTCCTGTAAACCACCTGGGGACAAGCCTATGTCTGCTTTTACTCGCCTGTTACTATATCTGCCCTTTCATGGCCATTCAACAATTAGTCACTGATTAGGAACGAAGAGCAAAGAGGTATTCTGTTAACAACAGTTAATGCTTTTTTACCCTTTGCTGGGTGTGTCGCAGGTTAACATGCAGGTTCCTTGGTCCACTTCAGAACGGTTCAATCTTTGGGGAAGCCTCTAGGAGATGCATTTTTAAACTCACCCATTAAACAGAGAGAAGCACTGCCTCAGTGCTGGAAAGGTTTCCGTGAGCACTGTCCATCTGTTATCCATTAGGCCTCCCAGCACTCTGGGAAGTTCATGGGCAATTAAGGTAACGAAGTCCATTTAAGAGATGCAATAGTTTAAGTGATTTTTCTGAGTTACCCGGCTGAGCTTAGCCTCCAGTTATTGTCAAAAGGACTATAGTCTGAGATTCTTGACTTCGGGGCTGTTTTCCTGAGGGCAAAGACCCTCTCTCTTATGTCTGCAAGTCCTTTCACAATGCCTGGTGCAGTCAGCCAAGGCCCAGGTCCACCAGGAAAAGTCAATCAAACTGGCCCCATAGCAGGGCAAGAATTCCCTCCACAGCATCCCCGGCATAGGCCCCTGCTTGCACTTCTCTAGGGAAAAGGCTCTCACCCATTTAATTGGCTCTGATAGCGAAAAGACAATCTTCACAGCCATGCCACAGTAGCATCACTACCAGCAGCTCATGTTTTTTAAGTGATTACCACGTACCAGGCACTGTGTGTACCTTTACATGAATTGTCAGCTCACAACCACCACATGAGGTAAAAACAGTAAGACAACTGAGGCTCAGGGGTCGCACTGGGCCGGTAAGGGGGACAGCCAGGGTTCTGGCCGTCCTGGGAAGATTTGGACCCAGTGTGAGGCCTAGGCACTTCGCTACTCTTCAATACTTCCTTCTTCCCCACAGGGCTCCAAGAAAATACCTCTGCTCCCCCACAGCTGACCCCACTGCAGGGAAAGTGCTGGGTGCCACAAGGAGCCCAGTCCTTGGCCTTAATCCTTAGGTTCTCACCTTGGCTGTAGCCCCCCCGGGCCCCACCCAAAGCTTTCCCTTCAGGCCCCACTGCTCAAGGGTCCTTTGGTGACTTTCCTGGTTTGCCTTGGGGGTAGGGTGGTAGGATGTTTCCCAAGGCCCTCTGAGGGCCCACTCCCTGAGGCTGCACCCTCACGGCGGGTATCTTGGTCGGCCCCCCTGCACCCTGCCCTCCTCCGCCTTCCGGGAAGCTCGGGGTCCTGCTCTCGGGCGCCCCTGCGCCCCGCCCTCGCCGCTTACTCTCCGGGTCCACCGCAGTAGCAGTAGCATTGCTGCTGGTTGGTGCGGTGGGGCGAATCCCAGTCGAGCTCCTCAGGCTGGTAGGATAGCACCATCTTCACGGCCTGCAGTGTCCTGGCTATGGCACCCTTCTTCAGCGCGCCGCCTTTCTGGGGGAAGACGAGGTCCCGAGTCACCGCTGGTTCTGAATGGGTCGCACCAGTCAGCACACGGCTACCAAGGAAAGTGCAGCCCAGGGCTTGGAGGACACACAGATATTCCAAGGTAGTTGGGAACAAAAGGAGCTTTTTCTCAATTCCAAGCTTATCCACTGTCCCAGAAGGATCTCCATTAATAATAGTATTAACAGTAATAAGCACGTATAATACAGGAACAATTACCAATATATTGAGTGTGGGCATTTATGGGAATTTTAATAGTAAAGCACCATCAGCCAGGGGCCTCCTATTCCTGATACCATTCCATGTCCATTTTACAGCTGAGGAAACTGAGGTTCAGGGAGGCTCTGGAACGTAACCAAGGACACAAAGTTGGTCAGAGGCAGAGATGGCCTCTGTCTGTAAAGCCCCATTGGGGCCCTTCTGCTTGGAGCTTATTGTTTGTGAGCCCAGGGGGCCTCTGGGCTCCCCATGGGAGGAGGCAGGAAAGGATGGAGGGCTCACCCGCACAGCCAGTGCGAAGATGCAGCGTCGGCAGAACCAGGGTGTGAGCAGGGGCCGGTCGGCACTGCCTGCTATGGGGATGTGGCACTGCTGGTGGTAACCTATGGCAGAGGAGGGGGTGGTGAGTGCCTTGAGGAAGCAGTGGCCGAAGGCCAGTTGGCCCAAAGGCAGCAAGGTTACGAGGGCTGCAGCAAGCCCTAGGAGGAGCTCTGCCCGCCAGCTGCCAGGGGACTGACTGGTGACACCTACTCAGCCAAGTTGATATCCACACTGGGGACTAAAAGCACCGGTCAGTGGGCAGAGCACCAAGGTCAGGCTTCAGCACCAGCACCCCTTCTTTCTTTCTTTCCCACCCATCCTATCTACCTGGGAGGGCCCCAAACTGCATACTCTGATGTACTTTCTCAACTTTCCCAAAGGTCACCTCCCTGGGTCCTCATTCACAGAGGGCTTCCTTGTACCCGGCGCTCTGGGAGAAATAGGAAGCCAGCTGAAGCCACAGCAGCATGGGGCAGTGCCCATCAGAGGCCAGTGCAGCAGGGACCCACAGGCAGGGCCTTCTCGTGCCCTGCTCACCCACTCACCCAGGCCACACTTCCCACAGATGAGGATCTCATTCAGCGGCCCTGATGTCTTCCCCAGGCAGATGTTACACTTGGGTTCCTCCCCTGGAACGCCAGCTGAAAAAGAGGCTTCTTGGGTCAGGTCCAGCTCACAGGAATTAGAAGAGTTAAAATTAGTCCAAGGGCTGAGCCTCCACTCCACACTGGGCCTCACAGGCCACCTCACTGAATCTTTCCAGCCCTTCTAAGGGGCCAGTTATAATGACCCCATCTAAAGATGGGGAAACTGAGGCGTGAGGGGGATAAATCCCTTGCTTAGCTAGTAAGTAGGAGAATGGGATTCAAACCCATTGCTATTTGACCTCAAGTCCTTTGTTCTTTTGACCACTTTGTGCAAACCCTCCTGCATATTTTTAAGTTGTTTTGTTAAACATTTTTATGTTAGATAACATTTATTATAGGATAATAATAGTATGTTATAATGGTACTCAATGGTCTCATCAACAATTATAACTCCTGGGTAACCTTGTTTTGACTATAGTCCAACCCACTCTTCCTTGCTGTCATTATTTTAAATCAAGTTCTAGATCTCAATCATTTTCCCATACATAGTTAGGTTATATCTTGAAAGATCAGCCCTCTTTTTTAAAAAAACAACCAGAGCCTTTATTGCATCTAAATATCAATAACATTCAGTTAGTGCTCACATGTCTGTCTCTCAAAAATATCATCATAATTTTGGTTTTTTAAAATCAGGATCTAAACAAAGTGCACACGTGGTGATCAGCTGATACACTTTTAGGGCTGCTTTTCTTCTACTGGCTCCCTCTCTACCTCTTTTCATTTTTTTGTTGAAAAATAAATGCTTTTGTGTCTGTAAAAGTTGTATGAGTACATTTCGATACATGCTTCTGTCTTATTTCCCATGCAGGCTAAAAGTTTTGTAAAGGCAGAAACAGTGTCACATTATCTCTGTATCCCTTGGACCTCACTTGGAATATGGCCTGTAATAGGTGTTCAAGGCATGTTTCTTACATAATTCACCAAGCAAGGACCTTGCCTCCTATTCCTGAATGTGATCCAGGAAAGTGGATCTTTCCTGGTCTCAGTGAAACAACGGATCATAACCCCTGTGTGCCCAATCTGTGCTCTCATCTTAGGAGAGGGCCACCACGGTGCCCAGGGGGAACAGGCATCCAGCTGGGGACACAGCCATTCCTTGGATGAACATTGGGGCTGGGGATTTAGCTCAGTGGCAAAGCGCCTGCCTGGCAAGTGCAAGGTCGTGAGTTCGGTTCCCGGTACCGGAGAAAAACAAAAACAAAAACAAAAACAAACAAACAAAAAAAAGAGAGCCCTTGGATGAACATTAACTATAGTATCTCCACAGCGCATGGCATGCAGTGGGCCTCCTACACAAGCCCTGCTAAGGTGAACTGTGTTTTTTCTCCATCTGGGTCCTTAGGCATTCAATAAGAGGGCAACTAGGAGAGGAGATTCTCATGGTTTTGGATTTGTATATTATAAATTTAGGGTAAGGGGCTAGGAGAAGGAATCAGTCTCTGTCGGCCACAAGTTCTTGGAGGTGGCACTATTTGAAAGATCTACCAACCGCTCGGTTCTGAGGTCTCCAGCTAGCAGATGTCTTGGAATCATCTTTTACTGTAACACGTTCTTTAAAAACTGCTTTCCTGTAACTCAGCACACTGGGCCATGCATTTTATGTGGATTATTTAATTTAATCCTCCTAATCACCCTATGAAGCCAAGACTTTCATTATTTTCTTTCAGACAAAGAAACTGAAACTCAAGTGATGTTACTTGCCCAAGGCTCTGCAGCTAGTAATAGGCAAAGCGAGAACTTGGTCCAAGGCCTATCTGACATAAAAACTTGCCTCTTCCTCCCAAAGGGCTGCATCTGTGAGGATAAATGGCAAACTGATTTCTTCTCTTGCCAACTCTGATGGTGGTTGCTTGGAGCTCTTAAAAAAATGAGTGTCATGGCTGACTGCTGACATCTGTCATGTGCATGGCAGAGAGAATGGCAGCAAAAATGCCCCAGATTTGTGATCTCTGTAAGACAGTATCAGCTCTCTGTAGGCCAGGATGGCACCCAGTCCAGCTCCGATTCCATCCTGAAAGCAGGTTCAGATCTACCCAGGCATGTTCACCTTCATACTGCCTGACCGATCCGTTTTCTTGGTCTTTCTTCAGCCCTGACCCCAGGAATAAAGCTGCTTACTAGCTTTCTTCACATGCTGATGGGGGCACTGCTCAAATCTGACTGCCGGGTGTCGTCCTCATTCTTAGCCTCCATAGACTGAGAACTCGGAGCAGCAGGAGACAGAATACAGCAAAGAAACACAGGCCCGAGACCCAGTTCCAGTCTCCATAGCTCCCTGAGCCATTTCCCCTCCGCCCTGCCTCCCTCATGAGGCCCGAGCACTGAGGGTGAAGGCAGGTGTCACATGTCTGGTAATCTGATCATCAAGAGAGAGTGAGGTTCATGGACCAGGACAGATGCCAGGAATAAGAGATGGAAGGAGAGCAGGAAACACTGAAGGTAGTGGAGGAGAGAGGACAGGGCAAGGTAGCAGTATTCTAAATGTCAGGAATACTCACCATGCTGTATGTCCTTCCATAGGACCCAGTATTTTGAATTATCTTCAAAAGTCACAAGGCAGCTTTGCTTAGAACTGCTGACCTGGAGCACGGAGAGGAGCAATGTAAGAGAGTAGTCGGGGAAGAGCCCAACTAGAGCATGTTCTCCCTCCCCTTTTGTTTCCTTGTGCTTTAGAAAGCAGGGCTAAGCTGGAAGGGGAAGTTAGCAGCTTTGTGCTCCTAGCCCTGGAGCTGACAGTCAGGGGCTGGAGGGCAACTTGGCCAGGTCAAAGGCAGACAAACAGGCCACGTGGTGGCCTGTGCGCCTCTCCAGCCTGGTTCTGTTTGCTTTGTGGGTTCTCAGAGCACTCTTCTAAAGAGCTGGCTGGATAATGTTGGCCCTAGAGATGGTCCTGGAGAAACCAGGCTCTGGCTCCTTCCACCATCGGCGTTTGGGCATGAGGGACATAAGGGGAACTCCCCAGGAATCCTCCATCACTAGTCTGCATAACAGACGGGATAAACAGAGATGCCGAGCCTGGGAAGAAGGAGCTGAAAGGGAAGCCTTACCCTCTTGATCTTCCCGAGGTAATACAGTCCATCTGTCCACCGGCACAGTACATACTGGCCCTCCGTCAGCTTGGACATCAGGTCTTTGAAGTTGTTCTTGGCCTTAGCCAAGGCCCCCTTGTTGGGGAGGTGGCTGGTGGCACCATAGGAGTCCCGAGTCCCTGAATCCAGAGCTCGATTCTCCATCAGCTTCCGCTGACCCTTGAAGAGAAAAAGAACAGGGTTTTTACTTCTTGCTTCCCTGCTCCTGAAAGTCCATCAGGGGAAGGAAAAATCAGTGCTGTGTGCCAGACACATTTATTATTTCACTGAATCCTCATGACAACCCCATGGGAGGGAGACATTATTATTCCCATTTTGCAGATGGGGAAACAGGTGTGGCAAGGAGAAGTGGCACGTGGCAGACAGAGACCTGGTGCATAATCAGGTCAGCTGTCACTAAGTCCTGCTCTCTCGCTCCTAGACCCTGCTGCTTCTAACGAGAAGGAATCTGTGAAGAAACAAAACAGAGGCCCTTCCCAGGACCCCTGAACCACAGCCCTGTACCAGGAGGCTGAAGTTTTCTCTGGCTGACCCCCACCTCCAGGGAGCACCTTGGAGCTGTCCATCACCCATCCTTACTCTGAGATCTAGGCCTAGGAGGGGAAACTCCTGAGTGGCTTGTGGACTAGTGTAGACTTGACCACCTGTATCTTTTGTAAGCCCCTTTTGTGTTCTCAATTATGGGATGATTTCTTGGATACTAGTTCTGGGGTATTTAAACCTGCTCATCCTGTTACCCAAATGGACATTCGTTGCCAGCAACACTGCCATCCCTATGCCTGGCTCTCCCATTTCTGTTAGATGTGCTGTTGCACTTTGCCTTCTCTCCCTGGCAAGGCTGCTACCATAGTTCCCAGGAGCCCCAGGCACCCCAGACTTCTCCAACCAGTGAGCTGTCACAGCCGGCCAACCTCCAGCACGATGACCTCTGGTCTGTGCCTCCTTTTCCATCCTCCTGTCCTGGTCTGGGCTCAGGCCTCTTTTGCTTGGACCATTCATTCATCCACGCTTTCAGTGAGCCTGGTGCTCACCTGTGCTAGGCCTTTCTCTGAGCCTGGTGCTCACCTGCGCTAGGTCCCTGGGTTTTGGTATTTCACTACACTGCCAGGCGAGTCCTGCTCTACTGCCTCTCCTCCACTCTCCCAGAAACTTTATGGGCTTCCTTAGTGTTCCGCGTTCCCTCCTCCTCTGCCTGGGCTCACCTGGCTCCGGGCACACCGCACCCCTCGCCCCTTTTCACTGTAACCACACAGCCTTGGTTGGTTCCCTGCATCTTTTAATCTGGTCTCCTCCCTCTCCGCGGCATTGGGCACCTGCTGTCACGACTATCTGTCCATCGGGAAAGTCCTGTCCATGTTTGTACTGGAGTTCGTGTGTGTGTATGTGTGTGTGTGTGTGTGTGGGCACCTGCTGTCACGACTATCTGTCCATCGGGAAAGTCCTGTCCATGTTTGTACTGGAGTTCGTGTGTGTGTATGTGTGTGTGTGTGTGTGTGTGTGTGAGCGCACTCCTGTGAGAGTGGGCAAGTGCATGCCTACAGCAGTGTATGTGTAAATGAATATGTGAAGCTAAATACATGTGTGTGCATGTAAGGGACTCTGGGGTGGGCAGGTCATTGCCGCGGTCTTGGCTTGCCAGAGAAGGGTGGCCATGTGTCCCCCTACCCAGTTCCTCTCTCTTCTCCAGGGCAGAGAGCCCCAGCACTGGGCCAGAGATGCAATCGGAAGTCCTGTCTTCTCCTGCCACCTGGATTCCTGGGCTCTGCAAGATCCCCTCCCCCTGGCCTGGCCACAGCAGGTTCACAAACTGACACTTCCTCCCCCATTGCGCCTTTGGGAGCCGGCCCGGTCGCCGCACCCCACTTGACCGAGCGGGGGCCTCCGTGGCGGCCCCCACCCCCGCCCCATCCTCCCGGAGAGGCCCCTGCGGCCCGTGATTGGCTGATTCAAATGCGTCTGCAAAGAAATGCCTGTTTGCGGGTTCCCGTCGGCGTCCAGTTCAAATCTGCGGCGCCCCGCGCGCGCGGGGCGCGGGGCCGGGCGGGGGCAGGAAGCGAGGGTGATTCATGCGCCAGGGCCTCTCCCAAGGCGGCCGTTGGCTTTTTAAAAAGAGTGTTGAGGAAGGGGTAAAAAGCTTGCAGAAGTGCCCCCTTTGGGTCCCGCGCTCCTCTCCTCCGCCGCTCCGACGCCCAACCTCCCCCGGCCCAACCCGCCGCAGCCCGACTTCGGACGTGAGCAAAATCCCAAACGCCCAGTCCGTCCTCCCTCCCAGCCGCTCCACAGGGAAAAGAATGGCTGAGGGCAAGGAAGGGCGACCTGTCACCCACACGCCCCCAGGGTCGGGGACCCCATGGGGTTCCTGCTGCCCCAATGCACAGATCGCCCCCGACCCGGTCCCCGAGGCGCGCGGACCCCCAGGACTCCAACCCCCGGGGGCGCTCGTCCCGCCAAAGTTCAGCCCGGTTGCGGAAAACGGGGCGCGTGTGCGAGGAGAAGCGAGCGCGGGGTCCCGGCCGGCGGCGCCCGCGGCGCGGAGCTTCTTACCGCGAGGCTGCGTGTCCGCGGGTCCCCCTTGGCGTCCGGCCACCAGGCGCATCGGCGGCG